TTACTTACTTACTTACTTACTTACTTACTTACTTACTTACTTACTTACTTACTTACTTACTTACTTACTTACTTACTTACTTACTTACTTACTTACTTACTTACTTACTTACTTACTTACTTACTTACTTACTTACTTACTTACTTACTTACTTACTTACTTACTTACTTACTTACTTACTTACTTACTTACTTACTTACTTACTTACTTACTTACTTACTTACTTACTTACTTACTTACTTACTTACTTACTTACTTACTTACTTACTTACTTACTTACTTACTTACTTACTTACTTACTTACTTACTTACTTACTTACTTACTTACTACTGAGCAAATTGATCACATAAAAGCCACTCATGGTGATCAGTAGATTTCACTAGTCAGAAAAGAGATCATAATGTATGATCTTGACCTGATGGTTTGAAACAGACAACCTTGTTGTTGGTTTAATATTAGGTGATTGATAAATTATCCAATTATGCACATTACTAATGAAGACTATACAGTTTCTAAGTAATTTTCTGTACTCCATAGAAATAGTGAAAGATGGAGTTCATTTAGAAGAGCACAGTGTTAAATCTCTGCATTTTAAATGTTCTAGGTGGAACTGTAATTCAATTCGAAATGCACAAACCGATTCTAAGAGACCAGTATACCCACGTTACTGATTTCATGATGTATGCTCGAAGCAGTGTTTTGTGTTGTATTCTTCACAACGCTAAACGGATAGATACATAGGTTACAGAAACTCATGACTAACCATTTCTAGTAGTGAATGCATAATGTTTATCGGTTACACAATAATCTATGCCTTCCACGCTAACATCTATTTGCTAGCTGATGTTTAAGTGGAATTGCCTCAGTAGTGTTTTCAGTTCCCCCACACCTCCCATCTCGTTAATACTGTGAGACAAGAATCTAAGAAACGTACACAGTACAGGTTATTAACCTCTGTTGCCTTCACATTATTGCTCATATATCAGAGCATTGTGTTTTTTCGTTATTTCGTACAGCTCTAAATCTTGATTAGACGGATAGGATACTTGACAAGATGTCTACTCTTCACCTGATGAGTCAATCAAAAAATATTCTGTCTAGACCAATCAACAAACTAATTCACTGGCTGATCCAAGCCGAAATTAAGAAATGCTTTTCAAATATTCAGAAGAATCTAAGTATGAAATTGTAGTAGTACGCTGAGTGTGGTTATTCTATTGAAGCGCATAATGGGGTTATTTAGTATGGGACAGAAGCTTTTGAGACTGTAGCACCAGGCGTTCTATAAAAATAAATAGCGAACCTTAGGCCCCTTCTCAATTCGACAAAAAACACTTACACTCCCTTAAGAGAAGGGCAGAGTAAATGATAAGAATAGGAAATTCAGTATTGGTAAAATATTGCAACATTATAATGAATGTCCTTCTAGAAAAGATCATCCGTGCTATTTTGCTAACTGTGTTCTCTTCTGATTTCCTTTAAGTCATTTTGTTTCTCTATTCAGAACGTTCATCGGTGGATCGTCTAGTGTTGCAACTTTCCCTGAAGATTCTGGACTATATACTCATTCTTGTCAGTGGTGTACACCGAAATTTCACCATACACTTTCAACATCAACACTGCCTACGGTTCAAGGACAAATCGAATGGATGTAATTAACGCTAGACTGACCTCATCAGATTGAATGGAAAAAATCTAAATGAGGTTATATTTGATGACTCGAACATCATTAAAAGTATTCATGCACATTTTACGCAAGTATTTCAAAATCAAGTGAAGACAGGAGTATGACAAGATTGCCGCCAACTATCACCAGTGATCTTCCTGATTGTGGTGGACTATATCAGGCAATAAACCATGAGGAGCGAGAAGATAGGCATACGCACGCTGTTTGACCGATGAAAAGACGGTAGGAGATTTGGATTTCGTCAACGATGATGCTTTATGTCTAATATCCTATGTTGCACAAACTCGGAAATCTACAAAAAAACCAACAAGTTGGCGGAAGAGGCAGCGAAAACAGGACACTATTCAAGCGAATGTAGAGAAGACAGAGGTGATGAAGATACCCAACCAACAACAACAACAACAACAAGCACCAATCACCATGAACGAGAGAAATCTAAAGGAAGTTGTCTCTTTCACCAACTACCTAAGCAGCATCGTTTCAACTACAGGCGGCACAAATGAGGATGTCAAAACCAGAATCTGAATTACAGCAAGACAGGCTTTCCTTCATTAATCTGAAATCATTGTGGAGATCTACTTCACTCAACTCCACTGCACTGCACTGCACCCCACTGCACTCCACTGCACTCCAGTCCACTCCACTCAGCATAAAGCGTGAACGAGATTCAGATACTCAACACTAATGTCAGTCAAGTCAGTCAGTGCCCCCATGTCATGGTTGAGAGATTTCCAGGCGCCTGACGAAAACCATTTCCAACAAACTACAAACACACATGATCAACAGCTGCCACCTACACTCGCTCGCTCACTCACTCACTCGATACTGACACTGAAGATCAGATGGATGGCGACAATAATAAGAATAAGCAACAGGAAACTCACTCTGGCCTCCCAACGAACCAACCGACCAACAACGTATTGCCCAACAAATATGGTGAAGATGAAAGTGGAGATGGATTGGGCATACACTGAGGAGACTGTTTGGGAACACCACGTGTGAGGCCAGGCCGTTGAGTGGAACCCACATGGGAAACGACGAGTTGGGTATCCGAGACCGAGTGTGATATGGAGGAGATGGTGTGAGGAAGGAATGGAAGCTGATGAGCAGTGATGTAACCAGGTTGGAAAGACTGCAGAGAATAGAGTGAAATGTTGACGTGCTACAGAAGCTTTCTGTTCCACTAGGAACCCAAGAGGCAAATAATAATAATAATAATTTCGAAATCAGCACTCACAAATAAGCATTATGCATTAGCCAGATAATCTATGTTAATTGAATTTGGGAGTTTGTAGGGATTAAGAGATTTTTTCAAGTTGGTATTCATCATGGACTGACATCAGTTGGAGGAACATTGGAAACGTGGGAGTACTGGATATCTGTTTTGTCCTCATATGCGACTCTTCAGCAGTGTGTACCCACGACCCCTCCAGGAATTGAACTGACAGAAATTAAAAAATATGGACCATTGGATTTCGACACAGTTGCTCAATGGTAACGTGTAGACCATGGAACCTGAAGGCCGTGGGTTCGATCCCTGTCGGGGTCGTGGCTGTGCACTGCTAATGAGTCCCACACTAGGACAAGACAGTTGTCCAGTGCTCTCAGGTTTCCAGTGATCCTCTAACTGATATCACTCCATTATGAATACCAACTTAAAAAAATTAATGTTAAGCTTGTTTAATTAAACCCTTATCACGCATTGTCTTTCTAACTGAACCCTTAAGGTATGAGTACTGTTTATGATAAAATTATTTTATAATTCCCCATCGTTGATTGGATGAAAGTGATCTATATTTATTGTTAACTTTCAAACAACTTAGAATGGGTGCAGGAATATTTACAAGCACTTAGGAAGTTAACAATTCTAACAGGTAGTGCAACACGGTGCTTAAGAATTTTTCAATTTCAATCTAGCCAAGGAAGATAGTAGTAATGATTGCACATGTTTCGTTTTCACACATAATTCAGAGTGTTCAGACCGAATGATGACAACTTCTCCAGGTTGGAATATTCGTTATCTGGTAGCTTTTGGTAATGAGGAGGTATTCACATGCATGAGTACAAGCACTATCTACGAAATGTGAAAGGACTGTATTGGTTATGCACTAGTAACTCATTCGGCAAGTAATACATTTGGCAGTGGTAAGAAGTGGAATCTGAAACGCACGTTTCGTCTTATTTAAAACCCATAAGCTGAATTTAGTTTCATCATCAGTGAGTACTGGTGTTCCTATCTGAACTCAAAGCCAGTACCTATCATCTCAAGCACTATAACATAGTTTACCACATTTTTAAGTCCCAATGGGTATCATTTTATCATTGGAAGTTTTTATATTTTATATTAAACATCTGCATTATCAAGCCATTCCTATAATGAGCATATATACCAATGAAATTGATCAATAAGCTTTGATGGATATCAGCAGCTATACTGTATGACATTGCTCAACATCTTTTGACTGATTAGTGCTATGATTGATTAGTACTATGATTTCAATATTAGATGATTGTTGTAAGGCCCCAGTTTTGTATAAAACATTGTTATCGGTCTAAGCATTTTTAACTTGGCATTCTCACACCATTTTTAAAGTATGGCTAGTAGTTTAATTTCTGCCCGCATTGTAATGTAATTCGCTGATTGGTTAACTTTTACTCTTACTATGAGAATTTCTCCAATTGCGGACAAGGTCATATTTTATGTGTATACATATTCACATGTTTTGGACTGATTGATTATTATACTTTCGGAGTAATAAACTCTCACGTCTGACAGCTTCGGTCTTCTCTCTATTCACCCCGGGGTTGCAGTCCATGGCTCTTGCGTACTAAGTTGGCTATCAGCTAAGCGTGCACATTCTATTATTCGGAATATATATATATATATATATATATATATATATATATATATATATATACGCCGTTGGCGTACGAAGATATAACAATGATAAAGTAATTCGTACCTCTTTAAAACACAGTTACTCTTCAACTTAGTTTAATCAATTTAACAAAAGATGTTTTCAGATGACTGTAACCTGTTACTAACACAATACACATCAGCATCATGAGATATGATTTTCTGCTTAGTGATACAATCACACACACGGAACGCTGTTTGCGATGAATAGTAAGATGCAGTTTGTGGAAGCATTGTTCAGTGATTTAGGTACTCGAATTTCAAGAACTAGGATGAAAGATACATTGTAGATTCTACACCCAGCCGCTAACAAGGAACTGTGTAAAACTGTTACACACAAATATTTAACAGTCTTCTTCAGTCCTATTCCGTGTTGATAAATGTTATAATCAAGATTAGAAAAACAAAATTTATTCAAGTGATTTTTTAACTTCATTAACTTTACTACAAAAAAATTAAGTTATCCTATCCAGCAGGATCAAACAAATAACAAAGCGAATATTGTTCATTCTTTCAACCATTCCTTTCTGTAGATATCATCTTTGAATTCAAACAAAATCACTACGCTGATCCTGCAAATGCGGAGAATGATACTCTGTTTTCTGTTTATCGCCTTTTTTACGATGTCTAACCTCCTTATCAGTTGAACGACATGCATCAGGATGTGTTGTCAGTGTTCCAGTTTGTTGGTTTTCCACCACTATTCTGTCTGAAATATTACCTTTTAAAGATGACTTCTTGTTATCTGGATGTCTTGTTTCAGTTGAACTTTTTGGAGTAGTGTAATTATTACCATCTTTTGTTTCTTCTAGTGTTGTTTTTATGGTTCGACTTGTTGACTGAAGTGGTAGTTGTGACGAATTTATATGCTGTGATGCTGTACTACTACTAATTAGCGTTTGATCAGTAGTGTAGTCTACCACTTCTTCACATACTATAGTACTAGTACATGGAGTAACCGTTGGTGGATTGGTTGAATCACCTACAATGATATGAAAAACACTACTTTTATGAGGAGTGTCACATGCTTAGTAGTATACTGTCGAAAAAACTAAAATTTTGATTACTTCACTAAATGTATTCTATTCATTACCACATGGTAGAATAACCAGAGATCACAAACCATAGAAATTTGCTCTGAAATGTATCAGTCCAAGTTGTCACACTTTACAACAGCGTGGAACGAAGAAATGGATCGAAACAGAATAACATCAAAGTAGACTGAAGTGTTAAAATAGAAGGGAATAATTGAATGCTCAAAATTTTGAAGGTGACACATAGTGTGAAAATCTTCAGTATTGTTACCGATTTTCAACCATTTCATCAAGCATTCCAAACTAATATTTACTCTAACTAGAATATTTAGAATATAACTTTCAACTTTGGTGTTTCTGAAGCAAAAGTTCAACAAATTTACAACAACAGTTAAAGAAAGAAAGAGAAAAGTAGCAAATGCCAATTAGCGCAGAAAAAAAATGAACGAATCAGTTTAACTGAAATAATAATCAGAAAAGAACCTCGCTACTTTATCACATCCAATGTCCTAGTGACAAAAACACAATCATCCATCTCAACAAATCTAAAAGACTTAAAGCAACCAGCCACAACATAGGTCATGAGTAGAGAAGTCGAGAAAAGACTAGTGTTAATTCTGAATCCTGATGATTACCTGTTTATCGAATGTATGTTAGTAGGCAGATGAAACGGATCCACTATTCTAACTAGTTGACAGGGTTTGAAGCTCTGTTTGAGTGGCTGTTGATTTATCCAAATATAAGTCATATTTAATGTCAACTTTCACTCTGGCGTCAATATTTGTGAGACGTTCCGGTCAAATCCTGACCCAGATGGACATAAACTGATCTATACCGAAAAAATGAACCGCTACTGAGCTACGAGGCCCAGCTGCTGACCAGATTTTTAGTTCACTTCAGTCACCAAGTGTAGTCGGAAAAAGCCCATTGCGATTGAAATGAAATAAAAACCTGGTCAGCAGTCAGGCCTGGTACATCAGTCGATAGAGCATCCGGCCGGAAACCCGGTGGTCATTTGTTCCAATCCCTCCGCGCTCCAAATTCTCATTTCACCTTCAATTACTACCCAGTATAAATCCTAGTCTGCCAAATGACGGCTATGTCACATACTCAACATGATAATCAATATAAATTGATCATAACCTTCTCAATTGCAGATGTCAACGCGACTGGATATTGATAAAATTCCAATACCTAGTAATCATTTGACCATTTCCAAATCATCTCTTTGTCTGCGTGTTGTACCACCCACTTCATGTGCTTTGTATTCTCATCCAATACTGTATTTTCCATCTGCCTGACTTCTCATAGATCCATCGATGTCACTTTTACGTGGAGACTACTGTACTCAGCATAATGCGTGAACAAGATTCAGATACTCAACACTAATGTCAGTCAAGTCAGTCAGTGCCCCCATGTCATGGTTGAGAGATTTCCAGGCGCCTGACGAAAACCATTTCCAACAAACTACAAACACACATGATCAACAGCTGCCACCTACACTCGCTCGCTCACTCACTCACTCACTCACTCACTCACTCACTCGATACTGACACTGAAGATCAGATGGATGGCGACAATAATAAGAATAAGCAACAGGAAACTCACTCTGGCCTCCCAACGAACCAACCGACCAACAACGTATTGCCCAACAAATATGGTGAAGATGAAAGTGGAGATGGATTGGGCATACACTGAGGAGACTGTTTGGGAACACCACGTGTGAGGCCAGGCCGTTGAGTGGAACCCACATGGGAAACGACGAGTTGGGTATCCGAGACCGAGTGTGATATGGAGGAGATGGTGTGAGGAAGGAATGGAAGCTGATGAGCAGTGATGTAACCAGGTTGGAAAGACTGCAGAGAATAGAGTGAAATGTTGACGTGCTACAGAAGCTTTCTGTTCCACTAGGAACCTAGGACGCAAATGATAATATATACTACTTATCTGTATCCTTATGCGTTGCTCTTACTACATTAATATTTTGACTAACAACACTCGTGATTTAATATTTCTTCAGATTATCAAGTGGCCTTGAAGTTGACTCGTTTATATTCGTTAAATATATTCCAATGATATTATCGTTTATAAACTAATCCCAAACACTAAAGTATTGGACACACTGGTCCATTGGTGGTTAATAACATCTCACTGATCTGTTATTAGATTTTTTCATTAGGGAAGTGACTAGAACTGCCTAAAACTGAAATCAACATTTAAAGTCTGTATTCATCACGGACTGACATCAGTTGGAGAGTGATTGAGGACCCGGGAACACTGGATAGCTGTTTCATCTCAGTATGGGACTCCTCCTACTGAGGAGCCCCATTTTGTCTGCCAAAGGTCGTCCTTTAAGTTACAGATCAGTCTTTGTGTCCTAACCTTTTAACAGTTCAGTGAAGTATCAGGAACTAAGGAGTATTGCATAATTTGCCAATCAGTTACATCCATAGTTCCCAAGGTCACTGCAGGAGGAATGAAGTTAGTTGTCACTTGAGTGAAGAAAGAGGTGATAACTGATTTGTTTGACTACTGTAAGATTCATACTTTATGTTAAGAAAAGATAGAAAAATAAACATTCGCAGTATTCACAAGGTATTTCACCTTGTTTAGCTATTGAGATTAGTGAAAACAAACTTGTGAATTTCAACATTTTCAATGAATCACAAGCAGGTAAAAAAGCGCTTCCGATAAACTGAAGAGACAAACCTTACCACTTATTGATATACAAACTTCACTTCACGAGTCTGTCGTAACCGTAAATGTGTGTATTTGTATGTGGTAGGATCAGGTATAAATATACATAAGTATGTTCCAGGTTAACTGTAAACTGTTCTGATAGTCCATCTGATTACCTCAGATTATGATCTGATACTATTGACTCATTGTAATTAGTTAGATAACAAAAGATGCGAAAAAAATAAGTTATAAAATGTGACCTTCATCAAATAACGAATAATCAGTCAAGGTTAATACGAAGGTTTTGACAGACAACCAGTAACTTTCCATCATGAATGCAAGTCGATACATTTTTGCCGCTATAGTTACCTTGACGATCGCCATAAAGACAGTTTCACTGAACAAACCATTGACTCTGGCACAGTCAAAGAGTTTAAAGTGCTGAAGTTAGTAAAAAATGTGTAACTCAAGAATATTTTATGGTTGACTTTATCATAAAATCTTGAATTATTATTCAATCAGAAAAATCAACGAATTCAACATGCTTCCATAATCTAAACTTACTTTAACAATGAAATAAAAACGCTTTTTAAACATTCCAGTTTTAAAATAACAAAAGTAAATTATAAAAAAAAATATGCTACAATGTGTTCCCAACTAAAAACAAATGAAAGACTCATGGTCATAGTTCAAGCCCTTAAAAAGTTGGGAAAAAACAACAAAATCGCTGTTTTTAATCTGAAACGGCGACTGTTAGACCCGCAGGCAAATAGTGACACGCCAACCACAAAAGTGTAGAACACAATTAACAAGGCTTATAGGTAAAGCGTTACTCTAAATAAGCGATATACCTAGAATAATAACGATAAATGCTAACTTCAAATATGCTGCTTCCATGGGGAAAAACGCCAAATCAATTACAAAAAAGGCAACAGGATTCAAGCAAATGATCTACAAATAATGTACAGTTGAAAGCAGCAGCTCGCCCCTCAAACGAGGCTAGTTAAATGACTAAGACTAGTCCATAGACAAAATTAACCAAAGAAATAAAAACAGCCAATACGAATGAAGGTCACAAGTATAAAAAGGATAGAAATAAATGAGATTCTTAACCAATACAGAGAGCGTTAATCGAACAGAAAGAGTGGGTGGACGATGGGATCGCATTACAAGCATGATTTGTTGTGACGCGAAGATGAAAAGGCACAGCATATGTAACACGTATTAACAAGAACGGATGAAAACAAGATGGTGATTAGGAAGAGAACAGATTATCCAAAGATCTGTACTTACTAACTTGGAGCCCACTACTGAGGAGTATCAAGCAATGGTGAAACAGCTATCCAGAGCTCCCAAGTTCTCGAATTAGTGTTAATCCCTTAAGGGAGCTACATTAAAATAAATCGATCAACCCCTGTAAATAACTGAAGAACTAAACTTCAATGCTCATCGAAGACAAAATTTATACTTCCCAGAGTGAACACGTTCACGATCAACCAGTAGTCCTCGATCCAGTAGTCTACATTTAGTAGAATCCAGTAAGTTCAAGATATAATATGACTAACATCCATTATCAATAACGGTCATCTATCCTCATTTCTAGCCTACCTTAATAAAAAGGATGTAAATTTTCAATAGAATTCTCTCTAGGTGAAATTTAGTGGAGTTAATCAAAGATACGGTGCTAATTGTGAACTTTACATTCAACAAACAGCTAAGAGGAGCACATATACTCCTGATGAGTACAGAACGAAATAATGCTTAGAGTTTTAGAGTAGTTGCTTACTTCAAAATCATCTTCTGTTATGAATTAACATTAGAAAAGAAACATCGTTTTTCTGCAACACTATTTAAAAAGTAGAAAATAGGATATGTGAAATCAGTAGTTCAGCTTTGACGTGCTGATCACTTAACTTTGAAGTCAGTTCCTGGAAAAGTAATTATTCACAAATAACTAGTACTGAATAAGAATGAAACAACTGTCTATTACTTTTTGGTTTCTACTTGTTCCTTAACTGACATTAATCCACGGTGGGAACAGTTATTGTTCCTGCTGAAAGACTAAATCAATGATACTAATCAGCGGTGTCTTCCATTGAGAAATAAAGCGTTACCTACAAAAGGAACACTCATAGAAGAAAATCTGTCGATAAAGTAGTCTGACAATGGACATTATACTGAAGGCAGAAGACTTGTCCCCTTAAATATCTCAATAGTCAATTTTCCTTAAAGAACTTACATTATCCGACACGAAATTTTCCTGATCTATAATGGAAATCGCTTGAGTTGACTTTGTTCCATTTACAGGAAGAGATGCTTCCTTTTTGCCCATAGTAGTAACTTCTTCGTCATCAAAGGCTGGATTATCTACTGGACCACCATCGACGAGGCCAACAGCAAACTTACTGCTATCAATACTATTACTAGGCTTCAAAGATTTGATTGAATCACTTCTAGCAATTTTGGAAGGAGTTGTTGCTTTTTTCTGAATGGAGTGTATTAAACCACCTAGTAATGGTTTTGATGATTTCACTTTAGCTTCTTCAGTATTGTCACTTGTTCGTTTAATCGACTCTCTGAACTTTTTACCACGTACCATCTCTTGTATTTCAGATATTTGATATGTGTCACGACCACGTCGAAGTTTAGAAACTAGAAATTAAAAAAAAGATAGTGAGATATTAAGTGCTACTGAATAATTTTAAGATTGATAATAATATATATGTTACTCAGTAGTGACATATATCGAAGATGAATATCCCAAAGTTGTAATGAGAAGTCGTGACCTGTAGGGTCAACATGTAGGAAGTGAAGCGGATGCCAACTGAAGATTCTGGATAATAGTCGCGCTATATCGCGAATCGACAGAAGCGAGTAACTGTAGATCATTGAACTCTGACCTAGTTGCTGAATGGTTAATTCGTTCGCTGTGAAACCTGAAGGTCGTAATTTCGATCCTTGGCAGGTGGGGTCGTGGATGGTTACTTCTAAGGAGTCCCATACTAGGATGAAACAGCTGCACAGAGCCCCTGTGTTATTAATGCTTCTCTAACTGATATCATTCTGATCAATAATACCCTAAAAATAAAATCCTCATTAAGTTCAAAATAACTGGTTACTGTTCTGTTAATTTATGCATTATACAGTTGCCTTTCTTCTAAGTTTTTGATTACTTTTGATATGGCTACAACAAAAGTTATACAAAATGTAGGCATCTCACATTTTAGGTCCCCCATAGCAAGTGAATTCAGGATGAGGTCACTGACGATGTTTTGACTCTTTCATTCAATTATTTATTTATTTGTTTTATTATTATTACTTATTTATTTGTTTTTTCTGCCATTAGTTTCTCCTTAGTTCGTTGCTTCTAAGTGTTACAACTTGAACTGATATTGTTTTATAACACATCTTAGCTAGTATAGTAATGTCTCCCTAACTGGTATTGACGACGAGCTTCAACAGAAATAAAACTAGTAAGGCCTATTCCATGACATTCGTGAAACCTATACCTCTGATCTACTGAGTGACTTTTATGTCACGACAGCCCACAACCTCTCGTTTCCTCCTCACACGATCTCATCCATGTCACACTCTGCTCCGACACCCAACTCGTCACTTCTCATCCGGGTTCCACTCGAGCAACTGACCTGACGCGTGATGTCCCCAGTCCGCCTTCTCAGTGTATGCACAATCCAATCCAATCCATCTCCACTGCCTTCCAGTGCATATTTGTTCAACGACAGCTTCTTGCTTGGTTCGTTGGGAGGCCAGAGTGAGTTCCCTGTTGCTTATTCTTGTTATTCTGGCCATCTGATCTGTTTTCAGTATCGAGCCAGTGTAGGCAGTTGTTGATGAATGTCTGTAATTTGTTGGAAATCCCTGTCGTAACGCGTCGCCAAGTCTCTCAACCATCACATAGGAGCACTGACTTGACTGATGTTCGTATTGAGAATCCAGATCTTGTTCCACATGTTGAGTGCAATGCAGAAGATCTCCCTCCACACTGGTTTCAGGCTAATGAACGCCTGTCTTGCTTTTCCGATCCTGGCTGACCTTGACATCCTCGTCTGTGCCTGTGGCGTCTGTAGTTGAAACAGTGCTTCCTAGATAGGTGTAGGTGAAGGAGGTTACTTCCTTTAAGATTCTCCTGGTCATGGTGATTGGAGTTTGTTGTAGCTGTTGTTGTTGGAGTTGTTGGTGCGGTATCTTCACCACCTCTGTCTTCTCTACATTCACTTGAATGGTGTCCCGTCTTCGCTGCCCTGCCCTGCCCTGCCCGGACTCTTCTGTCAGCTTGTTAGTTTTCGCCTGTAGATCTTCCAGTTTGTGCAACATCAGAGACAAGTCATCGTTGGCGAGATCAACATCTTCTAGGTTGTTTTTCACAGTCCAGCCAGCGTATCCCCCTCTTCTCGCTCCACACTGTTTGCTGCATGATCCAGTCGACCACAACACAATCATGAATATTATGGGGGATAGTAGGTGGCAGCCTTGTTTCACTCCTGTCTCCACTCAACTTCACTTCACTTCAAAAGCATCAGTGAGCTTTCCATTGTGAATTACTTGGTTGGTATGTGGCGTCTTCATATAGTTGTTGAATGAGGCAGATAAAGGTTTGTGGTATTCCGTAGTATTGAAGCAGTTTCGAAATTACCTCTCGGTGGACGCTGTCGAAGGCCTTTTCAAACTCGATAGAGTTGAGGGAGGGAGGGAGAGAGAGAGAGAGAGAGTTGACTGCCATTCTATACTCTGTTCTATGATGATGCGTGGTGTGGCGTTGCAATTTTGTCGGCACATGATTTGGTCTTTCCTGAAGCCAGCCAGATAGCCTGTTCCGGTCGTAGTTTTGAATCTAGCACATCCTTCAGTCTCTTGAGTTGATCACTGCTGGCTAGCGGTGGAATCCAGGGTGCAAATTTTGTGCTATTTTAGAGTCGTCCAAATAGGAACACCGCCACTCACTGAGGTGCAGGTACACCTAGCTGACGAGCCTCAAATTTGAGTCAAGGATTCCAGTGCTACACGTCAATCAAATGACATTGTAATTAATCTACAGGCAATAGTGAGGCATCCTAACAGGAACTCCTATATTAACAGACCGATCAGTTCGATCCAACATAATAATCAGCCTGAAAGTGTAAGCATAAAAAAATAACTAATTCAGTTAAGGGGTTTGTAGGGATCTATTGACTTCAAGTTAGTATTCAACAAATCCCTACAAATCTTCAAATTGAGTTACCGTCCAGTGCTCACTAGTGATTTACTTCAGGGTTGAGATTTTGTGAAGTTCTGGCAATAATTTGTGACTGGTGAAGTAATCCAAGTCAGACATGCGGACACGCACTCAAAGACGGTGCTATATGCCTAACTGACAAAAGTGGGAAAATGTTAACCATTGGATTCCAACTCGGTGGCTGAATTGTAACTTACTCACCGCAAAACCTGAAGGTACTGGGTTCGATCCATTGAAGAGAGGAGTCACGGATACACACTGCTGAGAAGTTCCGTACTGAGACGAAACAGCTTTCCAATGCCCCAAGATTTTCAATGGTTCTCCAACTGATGTCAGTCTATGGTGAATACTAACTTGAAATCAGTGAGTGGATAATTACTTGATTGACTTTTCAATACCCGATACTAAATAGTTTCGAACCTCTAATAGGCCAGAAAGCAGAGGTAAAACTAAAAGCGATTTCTGAATTCATAACCAGAAACCCATTTATATGGTTACTAATAGGATTTCAGAATCTGTCAAGGCACATATGAAACTTACTTACTATTTATGTAATTACCTGGTCAAGTTGGATTGATGAAAGTTATAGAACCTGCTAAAATCACTAGATGAGTATAAATGTTTTGTGGAACCTCCACACCAAAGCTGTCAACCGACCCGTGTCGACCACCGCCAGCGACCTATCACTACGAAGTACCACTTGAGGGCGGATATGGATAACCGATTCCAGAACCAGGCAGTAAGGACAGTGCCTCCAAAGGAGGGGGGAGTAATGTAACGTATTTGAAACCCTACTGATAACACTGATCATGTTCGCTTTCTTTCTCTTTCAGGATACGATACAGCGAACGAGTTAGGAGAAGTGGAACAGCGAATACGTAAACTCAACACTGACGATGATGTATAACAAACTTTGTCTAGATCGAGTGTTGTGCAAACCCGCTGAGTTTAAGCTGTATCCCTACTAAAGAAGATACTGCGTAATCCCTATTCTTCTTCGGCCTGCCTGTGTGTGCTGTGAGTCTGAGTGTCTGCAACGCTTAAGGGTCGTTACACTATTTAACAATGACATTAAAACAAGGTAGAACTATTGGTATCTTGACTAGTGAGATGAGGTTGGTACATTGGCAGATACAAAGATTCACTGAGGACTAACTTCAGATTTGTGTTTAAAAAAAGATACAAAATTAATGAATTTGTCTCTTTCACCTACCTACCTAGGCAGCATTGTTTCAGCCACAGGCAGCGGCACAGACGACAATGTCAAAGCTAGAATCGAAAACACAGCAAGACAATCCTTCCTTCATGAATCTGAAATCACTGTGGAGATCTACTCCACTCCACTCAGCATAAAGCGTGAACAAGATCCAGACTTCCAACACTAATGTAAGTCAAGTCAGTCAGTGCTTCCATGTCATGGTTGAGAGACTTGGAGGTGCGTCACGAAAGGCATTTCCAGCAAACTGTAGACAAGCATCAGCAGCTGCCGCCTACACTCACTCACTCGATACTGACACTGAAGATCAGAAGGATGGCGAGAATAATAAGAATAAGCAAGAAGAAATTCACTCTGGCCTGCCAACGAACCAACCAACAACCTGTCGCCTAACAAATATCATGAAGAAAGTGGAGGTGGATTGGGCATACGCTGAGAAGACAGTTTGGGGACATCACGTACCTGGCCCCACCAGGTTGTCGAGTGCAATCCAAATGGGAAACGACGAGTTGGGTGTCCGAGGCCGAGTGTGACATGGAGGAGGTCGTGTGAGGGAGAAATGAAAGCTTCTGGACAGTCGTGGAGTCAAGTTGAGAAGACTGCAGAGAAGACAGTGAAATGGTGATGTGCTACTGAAGCTTTCTGTTCCACTAGAAACCCAAGGAACAAATAATAATGATAATAATTAATGAACCACCTAAAACGTTGAGTAACGAATTCCAACTACAATTTAGTAGGGACCAGTTAACAAAGAGTCTCTATTGTATTCCTGATGCACTGTATTCATTTGAAGGCGTTGATGAAGTGGACTATTGCTATGTTCTACTTTATGTGAACGACATCTTTTTTACCATTAAAAACAGTGGAACTAGGATGAACTCATAACTTCATCAATAGGAGTTTGGATGGCATCAAATTCAAAGTAGAGGAGGAACAGAATAACAGACTTCCATTCTTGGGATGGATAAAAGAAAATGAGAGGAACCTGTTTGTAGACAGCAACCATACACTTATCAAACTCTCAACTACAGTGGCAGTAATTTTTTGAAGAAGCTATGGATTACATAGCAACCTGTTCAGAAGAATCTTGTCTTGATTCGTTAATTACAATAGGATTAAGTTAATGTCTATATTATAGTAGCTTTCTGCTGATTGCCTCCAACAAGCAGTATTGACAACCCAACAAAGCACCAAATTAGTTGTGTATAGACTTTACTCAATACAGGACAACACCCTACATTGCAGCCACCGTACAGAGGAACGAATAAAATTACTTAACAACTACCTCCACCCCCCAAAAAGACTGTTACTCACTAGCCACTTTATCGGAAGATATATGTCTATCTCATCACTAACCACAAAGTTATTCAGGCAACCACGATAAAGACTATCCTAGTTAATATTAAGAACTTATCAAAGATCATGACAAGGCTACTGAAGCTATTATGTTGGTCATAAACACACAAATTCTCCTCATGCTATACCATGCAGATCCGTCTAATGAATTCACAGCTGGTGAAGATAGACCAAATATCATCTATAGGATGAACTTCGATAATGATCACATTGAAAAGAGTGTTCACTCTCTTCATCTTCGTCGATATCAACATCTGTTGTTACCTGAGCATCACAACATCCCTTGTAGCCCAGCATATAGATATTCATAAACGTGAAACCTATTCTGAAAGTATGAAGATCTTGAAAAAGTAACAAAGATTAATAGACAGTTACATCGACTTGTCACTGGTAGGCAAACAATCCCATGTTGTCTAGTAGTGATTGATGACCGAAATCTATCAGTCATTTCTCATTGTAGCCACCGAGCTAAGAGACTTACCACAACCACGCACTTGAATAGATGTTAGTTGGTTGGAGGCGATCGGCAGGAATTCTGACAGCGACTGACCTCCTACAGAAATTTCACTGGATGTAACACTGAGTAACATGGGTTCGAATCTCGGAGGAGTGATCACTTCCCTAGAAGTTGCAGATGCGCCTTGTTGACGAGTACTAGCAAGTACGAAACCTAGGTCAAGTAGGTCTTCCTACCGATTGTCTTCAGCTAACTAACATTACCAGAAGCTTGACACTCAAGTAAACCAGCACCCAACGAGTGCACACAGACCTGATTTATTACCCAAGAAGAGAAATGGTATATAACTTCAAGTTTGAAGGTTAAGCAGAAAGATAGTCAATCAGAAAATTTGCTCAATCAATAATAGAACAATCAAAGGAAACTAATAATCATACACTGCTTCATTAGAATAGGTTACTGAAACAATCAAGGAAAATCTCTTATATCTAACTTCATATTGAAGTTAGTGATAATGATTTCCATTAGAAAGGCACTGTAAGCTCTACAATCTAGCTTAGAGAAATAAAAACTGTTAAGAATTTCCAGTAAAATCGATACACGGTGAAAACTGTCGCCTATTTAAGTACCCATTTTGTTATCTATTGGGTAATTTGACCTTCACAGACAGTGCTTATAAAGAGACAGGCAAAGGCTATAAATTGTAGGAGCATTTGAGTACCGGAAAAAAAGTAAAAGTAGTACATTTGTCACCATTCCTTAGTACGTTGAGTCCCAAGAGATTGTCTAAGCTAAGATCTCTAACTTCATATTATATCCAATGATAAAAACACACGTTGAAACGTGAAAGGGTACAGTCCAAACATTCCAGTCTCAAGATGCAACATGAATGATCACTGTCCATCCTCTACACCTAAGCTGGCATCGAAATAGGTATCCAGCAAGAATAGCATCTGAAGCAGCACCAAACTTATCAGACCACTGAAAATCCGAGTTACAGTTATTCATCACCCCTTCCATCCCCTTCATCACACTAAAATCTCATTTGATATACATCTAATTGTACACATAATGGCGACTTACCTGTCTTATGATAATCTGGTATTTTCATTCCATTCGATTTAAGTATATCCAATAATTCATGTCGGAAAGCACTGATATCCCCTTTAATTTCACTTAAATCATCTGGACTAACAGTATCATTTTCACTAGATCTAAGCTTTTGCATAATATAACGCTTTGTCAATTCACGCATGACAACTTGATAACGTGCTTCACGTTCCTTCACTTGTTTTACGCGTTGCTAACGTGTAAATAAAAACATAAACAAATGCATGAATAAAGAAGTATGTGAAATAAGCAGTGGCAAGAACGAATGTAATCTCAACAGACTGAATATCACTTAGTATCAGATTAGTTTATATAAGTGAACCCAACGAACAAAATCTGCTTCTATTATTGTATAGTAATGATGGGTAATGGGTAGCGGTTGAATCCAGGATGCGCATTTCGTCCAATTTAGGACTAGTCAGCTGGATGTACCTGCCTCCCAGTGAGTGATGTTGTTCCCACCGGGATTTGGACTCGGGAGCGATCGCATCAAATGCGATAGCGATGTCCACTACACCACCGAGCCACGATAGCCACTTCTTGATCGACATGTATAGAGCACAAGCAATAACACTCAAGTCTGTTTCTGTTATAAGGAATAAAAACTCATCCCTACACCTATTAGTCGGAATTTATTAGTTCATTGGTCAGTTCCACATTACCTGTAATAAGTATATTACAGGCAATCACTTAGGTAAGGCAGTTATGATATGATCTTTAAGCAAGGCGCGTTTTATCTTGTTTGTGACTCATCAGCTAGCTGTACCCAAACCCTGTGAATGATGGTATCTCCAACGAAACTCGAACCCAGTATCTACAGCTTCAAACGACAAGGTGTTATCCACTAAGCTTCCGAGGCCCTCTTACCCCATAGGTATTATTTATAATTATTTATTGGTATTTGTAATTTCTTGTTGCTACACCGAGATTGGATAGCTCAACTTCTGTTCATATATGGGCTCTTTTGAGGAGGCTGTTATATTGCTTGGATACTGATCATTCTGTAACTAACCTGGTAGCTATCAGGGGAATACAGGATATGCTTTTCATCCTATATTCAGAGGTCGATCAGTTTGATGCAGTATAACGATGGGGAATCGCAAGTACCAATAAATAATAAATTATTGTAATATCATTCTACTTTCCTTCATCTTCTCTATGTATAGTATTTTAGAGTATAGAAACTTCAGCTTGTACACTATTTTATGTAATAACATCTACTTAATTTCCAACTATCTATTTGTTTATATTAATGGTAACTTACACGAATTGTTTCCCAATTATTACGATGTAATTTTTCTTTATAACAATTGACAAATAATTTTCTAAATGAATTCAGCATATACATAAATGCTTTTGGTGTGGGTATAATATTGAATGGTACGGGAACAGTACAACCTTCACCAAAAAAACTTATCCATAATTTTGAACGTGCAAATTTCCATTCTACATCTACTTGACCCTGTTAAAACAAAACATATATATATATATTGAAAATAATGATATATTAAAATAACTTTATCAAAATTTATCTTCTTGGTAGATGATTATATTTGTTATAGACAAAAAAATAAAGTACACTAAATGTTTTTCATGTTTACTGGGGCAAATTTAAAGCCACCCTAGCAACTATCGAAATAAACAGTTAAATTTCTTCATTTCGGTTAGAAAGGCAGATTTTCATGAAATATAGAAGTCTAATAGGTTATTTCAGTTGTTGCTCAGGTGGCCTTTAAAGTCGCCCGTTTACTGTTGCAAAATTTACTCTTTCTATATAGGTCCACTCTTGTTTTGGAGTATCATTTATTGAACCTTTGTTCATCAGCATTGCAGATATCTATGTATCAGTTGGAATATACTCAACAACCTTGTGAAGGTTTGTGTAGTAGGTGACGAACCACACCTGTTGTGTGAGGCCTTGCTCGACCTCGACAGATGGAGCTGAGTTCGTGCCCGTAAAGGTTATTCACGTCACTGTTTGCTTTCCGTATAATGTTAGAAGAAGAATGGTGGAAGTAAGTGATTAGAAAGTCATATGTAGTTCATTGTCCCATTAGTGAGCGTTTTTACACAGAATTACTGATCTGTTGGGACTCAATCAGTAAATTGTGACTGTTTTTATGAGTTCATCATGACTGGGAAATCATGGTTTACACCAGTGATAAGATCTGATTCACTATCGACTTTGATGTATGACACCTATTGAAATTGATCCTTCGAGGAATAAAAATTCTCTCTAATACATCAGTTTAAGAAACATATAAGACTCCATTAATGAAACTAGATATCAGGTCAAGGGTGAATTTAGGAATTTTACGTTTTTCTCTCTTAAATGTTTAGCATATTCTTCAACCAAAGTTCATTGTCTCGGCTCTACAATCAGCATTCAGCGTTAATCTTTACAATATGGATCAAAAGATCGTATAAATTTGATACTTTATATAATCTCTTTTGTTATTACTCAAGAGAAAACACGTGTAGAACACCAGGATAAGAATTGGCTTAGGACACTGTGGCAGAATGTAATTCCACCTTCTATAAACTTATTCAGTATGAAAGTATGCACAGAATAGTCCACTCAATCTATGAGTTTTATTTACTGAACTGTACAGTGAAAATTTTCATTGAGCATATTCAGCTCAAGTAACCAACTGAATTCTTCTCAAAACACTGTTGCCTATTTCAGCGATGATAACTAATAACCAGTCAAAACTCTTTATCAGATGAATTAATTTGAATGGGAATTCTATAAATTACAAGTATTTGCCATCGGTATCAATCAAAATCGTCGCTGTAGTATCAATCTAGAGTTTACATTATTCATATTCTTCTTTTGGGGAAATTTCTTATATATTGTGACCGAAATATTTAGTAACTTACCACAATTTGTTCATAAGAGCTGTTCATCATAGCAATTAACATATTCAAAAGTACAATGAAAGCGATGTAGGAATAGGTGCCAAATGTCAGTTTACCTAAGTGATGAGTAAAAAGCATGCAAGACTGAATATCACCCATTAGTTTCAATGATTTCAAAATATTTTTTTAATGAGAAGAATTTTACAAAACTAATCATACTACTTAAAGTCGTCAATCTTTAAAACTGAAATATTACTGAGATCATTTCTGTGATATCCGTATTGCCTATAAGAGATAATGGATTGAGGGTGAAGTGTATAGTTGGGTGACGCTAAGATTATAAACATGACAGTCCAGGTTACCGGTTCAGAGCCCTACCAAATTAGTTACCAGAACCAACTTCTGACTACATAGAGCCGGTCCAACGGTTTGAATTTTGCTGCAACCAGGGTTTCCATTTGATCTTCAATAGTAAGGTACGTCAGTATTATTGTATTGAAAACAGCAGTTAGTATAAGGACACGAAATGTAAGAAATTGAGTAAATATCTTCGACTGATGCTGAATGAATTTAAGTAATCACTGAATCTGGGTGCCTTGACACTAAAACTTAGAGTTGTGATTAAAGGAAGGAGGTAAATCTCATGACTTCAAAAGCCATTCTAGCGACGACTGAAATAGCCAGTCGAATTTCGTAAATTTCGGCTGTAAGGGCAGATTTTCACAATATACAAAGCTTAGATGGTCATTTCACTTATTGTTTGGGTGGGGTTTAAATTCACTCGGTAAATTTTATCCACACACTAGCAGGCAGCTAGGATGAATTAAATAGTGAAGTTAGAAAGCACACATTTTGTTCCCACTTTAACCCATATTAAAGTATCAACACTCATTTGAATGATGAATAATCTACATTGGCATTAGCGAAATCTCAAAAAAATTAAAATATAAATGTATGGATAATCAACGTGGGTATGATTAGGCACTAAAGTAGATTATTCCCCTACATTGCTACGATATCGGAGGTACCCGTTTGCCTAATCAAATATGACTCAGACAACCACTGCAACGAGAAAAAGATATACACTACGCTATGCTATGAAGCATACAATAAGACCAAAAAATAAACTGATTTTAACCTCGTTTGGTTAACTAGTACACTGGTTCCTACACTCTCCTAAACACAGGTAAAAAGGAAAGGTTGGACATAGGACAACCTAGAAACCCTACACCGGAAAACAAAACTAACCACTAAACAAACTTCAAAGCACAAACGATACATTCAAATTACAACAAAATTATTCCTCGCTGGAATCAGAGAGGCAAAATGACGCCAGTTGGTGAAAGCCTGAATTCGGGAAGCCAATTGACCCAGCCGACGTGTCTTCTCTCTCTCTCCATGAAAGCGAAAGTAAACGTGGGGACATGCAATATCCGCACCATGTTTGAACCCAGCAAGGCAGACCAGACTGCAAACGAGATGAAGAGGTATCACATCGAAGTGCTTAGAATTTGCGAAACCAGATGGAATGCGAGTGGACTCTACAAACTGTCAACTGGAGAGCAGGGTCAATAATCTACTCCGACACTGTCACACAGACGACAACCACGAGCACACTGAGTTATCGAGTGGCTATCATGATGTCCACATTCCAACAGCATCGAAGGCTCTCTCTCTCGTGCAGTGGGAACCAATCTCCTCTTCCAGGATCATGACAGCGAGGTTCAACTCAAAAGGAAGGAAGGAAGGTCACAATCATACAATACTACGCTACACTACGCACCTACAAATAATGCAGATGAAGAGAAGAAGGAGGAATTCTACAGACAACTTCAATCAACACTGGACAAGACCTCACTCTAGATGGCGATATCAAAATTCTAATGGGTGGGGCGACATGAATGCCAAACTGGGAGGGGGGGGACAACACAGGAAGAGAACTAACCATGGGTAGAGAAGAGCTCGGTGAGGTGATGAACGAGAATGGAGAATTGTTTGCAGAATTCTGTGCATTCAACGATTTGGTGATTGGAGATGGGGCACTATGTTCAAGCACAAGGATATCCACAAAGCGAGAGACATCGATTTCACCAGACACCAGATGGACACACCAAAAATCAAATCGACTTTATCTCAATCTCAAGAAAATGGAGACGCAGTCAGCCTACTTGATACAAGGTGAAGAAGAGGAGCACATGTAGGTTCACACCACTATCTAGTGTAAGGAACCCACCTTCGAAATCAAGTTAAAAGCCTTCAAGGAAGCTGATGATAGACTGCAGTTCAAATACAACACTCGGAACAGAAACTGCACTTAAGAACGAAACTACAAAGGAAATCTTCACGGCAGCCAGCCATCAAAACAAAATGGGAGATATCGAGCAACATCCCTGAAGAAACCTGTGTGGAAGAACACTGGAAGTCATTGAAAGAGATGTGGAAAGAAACCTGCACAGCCGTATTAGGAAGGAAGAAGGTGGAAGACAAGGAATGGATCTCGACGGATACATGGAAGCTGATAGAGCAGGGAGAGGAGGATGGTGATGGTGAAGGAGAAGATAAACCAGTACAAGGATGCTCAACGACAAGAGGAACTGAGCACAATGTATAAAACACAAGACTGGACAAAGAAGTGAAGAAGAAGAGTGCACGCAAAGACAGAAGACACTTCTACGAAACACTGGCAAGTGAAGCAGAACAGGCTGCCGGCTGGTAGGAGAGATAGACCTGACAACATTGTATCAAGTAACCAGGTTGCTATCAGGGAAGAGATCAATACAGATGAAACCAATAAAAGATGAAGAAGGAAATTTAATTACGAAAGAAGAGAAACAAAATAAACGATGGGCCGACCACTTCAAGGAGCTCTTGAATCGACCACCACCTGCACTTCGTCCACAAATACCACCTGCAGCCAAGCCACAGAACTACAAGTGAACATAAATCCCCCAACGAAAATGGAAGTCCTGAACGCCATAAAGCTACTGAAATGTGGGAAAGCAGCAGGACCAGATGGGATCCCGCCACAAGCACTGAAAACAGATGCAGAGACAAGAGCGGACATGCTCACACCATACCACTATTGCAGAAGGTGTAGAAGGAAGAAAGAGACCGGAACAGGCTGGCTGGCTGGCTGGCTGGCTGGCTGGCTGGCTGGCTGGCTGGCTGGCTGGCTGGCTGGCTGGCTGGCTGGCTGGCTGGCTGGCTGGCTGGCTGGCTGGCTGGCTGGCTGGCTGGCTGGCTGGCTGGCTGGCTGGCTGGCTGGCTGGCTTCAGGAAGTACAAATCATGTGCAGACCGAATTGCAACGCCACACCACGCATCATCATAGAACAGAGTATAGAATGGCAGTCAACTCTCTCTCTCTCTCTCTCTCTCTCTCTCTACCTCAACTCCATCGACTTTGAAAAGGCCTTTGACAGCGTCGACCGAGAGATAATTTCGAATCTGCTTCAATACTACGGAATACCGCAAACCTTTATCAGCCTCATTCATCAGCTATATGAAGACGCCACATACCAACCAAGTAATTCACAATGGAAAGCTCACTGATGCTTTTGAAGTGAAGTGAAGTGAAGTGAAGTGGAGACAGGAGTGAAACAAGCTTGCCACCTACTATCACACATGATATTCATGATTGTGTTGTGGTCGACTGGATCATGCAGCAAACAGTGTGGAGCGAGAAGAGGGGGATACGCTGGCTGGACTAAGGAAAACAACCTAGAAGATGTTGATCTCGCCAACGATGACTTGTCTCTGATGTCGCACAAACTGGAAGATCTACAGGCGAAAACTAACAAGTTGACAGAAGAGTCAGGGCAGGGCAGGGCAGCGAAGACGGGACACCATTCAAGTGAATGTAGAGAAGACAGAGGTGATGAAGATACCGCACCAGCAACACCAACAACAACAGCTACAACAAACTCCAATCACCATCAACGACAGAAACTTAAAGGAAGTAACCTCCTTCACCTACACCCATCTAGGCAGCACTGTTTCAACTACAGGCACCACAGGCACAGACGAGGATGTCAAGGTCAGCCAGGATCGGAAAAGCAAGACAGGCGTTCATTAGCCTGAAACCAGTGTGGAGGGAGATCTTCTGCATTGCACTCAACATGTGGAACAACATCCGGATTTTCAACACGAACATCAGTCAAGTCAGTGCTCCTATGTGATGGTTGAGAGACTTGGCGACGCATTACGAAAGGGATTTCCAACAAATTACAGACATTCATCAACAACTGCCTACACTGGCTCGATACTGAAAACAGATCAGATGGCCAGAATAACAAGAATAAGCAACAGGGAACTCACTCTGGCCTCCCAACGAACCAAGCAAGAAGCTGTCGTTGAACAAATATGCACTGGAAGGCAGTGGAGATGGATTGGATTGGACTGTGCATACACTGAGAAGGCGGACTGGGGACATCACGCGTCAGGTCAGTTGCTCGAGTGGAACCCGGATGAGAAGTGACGAGTTGGGTGTCGGAGCAGAGTGTGACATGGATGAGATCGTGTGAGGAGGAAACGAGAGGTTGTGGGCTGTCGTGGAGCCAGGTTGAAAAGATTTCAGAGAAGAGAGTGGAATGGAGACGTGCTAGTGAAGCCCTATGTTTCATTAGGAACCCAAGGGACTAATAGTGATAATAAATAAATTATACTGATTTTAATATGCTTGTTGCACTATCAGCCGAAACCACGGTAACCAGGTAGTACAGATTTACAGTTAAAATCAATCAGTCATTCTCATAATGTTTATTTTACTTGAATTAAGTGTACATTGACACAAACGGATGAATGACTTTATATGCCATCCTAGAAACTGTTGAATTAACCAATCAGGTTTCAGTATTTCAGCTGGGAAATGTAATTGGTTTTCTCATCAGTGTTATAGTTGCCTTTAAAGTCAGCCGGTTGAATTTTCGTTATGCTTTAAGAAGCCCGCCTCAGTTGACGTGGAAGATCAGCATTACAACAACGTTTTCGTCATCTTAACAAGTATTTTCAAAATTGATTGAAAAAAACAGTTATTAAATATTTAAACTTAAAGATGTGAACTGAATGATGTTGTTTATATATTATGACGCTTTTGAAAGGACGGTTGTTACTCAAGTTGGTCTCAACGAACCATAGAGAAATGGAAAACTGGAAACTCACTGTGAAATCAGATCTCATAGTAGATAGAAACAAAAAGAAGGAACTGGAGGACATTCTTCAGCTAATCCTTCACAATTTGGGACTTCAGTGTGTGATCAAGACCCCATGCGAAATGAAGTTCATATTAGTTAAGTTCAGTGACAAGTATGTTACCATTCAACCCATGAGTTGAAATCCAACAGCACATATTTTTCAAACCTTCGACAAATTGTGAAATATCTAGTTATCCAAAAACCAGTCTTTTTCTGTATTGCACCCACCCACGAGTAAGAACAAAGAAGAACAACCTTATAACAAGTTTACTTGCAGCTCAACCAAAGGTGAATGAAGGTTGAAATGTGTTTTTATTCGTAGAATAATACATTATGACGTAGAAAATCTATCTCTATAGGCGGGAATTACGTGAAGTCGAATTTAAAATCCTACATATCTGGTATTCAAGTCTCAAAATGTTTAAACTGAAATGGTTCACTTTTCAATAACTCTGGTTCACAGACAGATTTTTTTAAGGATTTAAAGATCACCCTAACCACTACTGAAATAAACAATTATGTTGTTGTATTTCATGATAAATTGCCTTCTCAGACAAAATACCACAATCTGATTGGTTATTTCAGCAGTCGCTAGAGTGGCCTTTAAAGTCACTCGTTTTCTCCCCCTTTGTTAACCTATCATTGTTAGATCAGATAACTCGTTTTACCTTCCAATCATTCATCTTAGGTGTGCATGTATATCACCTTCTTTGAATCACCGTGTTTGCAATGACAGGCGTCAAGGCTAAGTGGCAAGGTATGGTTATACTCTAGGTGGTTAGTACTGAATATAAAGGTTAGTATACATGTTGGCCAAGTAAATCATAGGTTGTCCCTTAAATTGCGTAGTTTACTTCAAGATGGTAACCCATCAATACAATATGCATTCAAAAATGTGAGTAATTGTCAACCGTTCAATGCGATTATTTGTCCAAAAGGATTCGTAAACATTATCCTGTAGGTCTGCAAAGAGGTGGTGGTGGTTTCAAGAGGAGTGGAATAATTGAACACCTCATCGAAATTGATCATTCAAACTTCACAACTTCGGGATTCGAGGTTATCACAAAGTGAAAATTGCCCTGCCCAAGGCCATATGTGTTAGTTATCTTCATATTGCAGAAGCATTAGATATTCACATAGAAATGTTAGAGGTTCATATGCAAAAGAGATTTATTCAACCTCTTTTCCTTTAATGGCTATTATCGTCAACTTCTCAAACCAACACTTCGATTACTTCTGTTCTGTTTAGCTTTCTACGTGCTTTTCATAAACACTCATTGTTCAAGTACTTTATAGTGTTGCGCAACTCATCGTCAAAGGTTATGCACCGTTTACTAATTTGCATAAAAATGTAATTGTTTTTCACCAACATTAGCAACGTTTTTGGCCTTAAAAGTTATTTATTTGGTGAAAGTTAGCAGTTTCTGAAATGACTGACCATATTTCGAAATTTCTGCTAAGAAGGCAGTTTTTCACTGAATACAAAAATACAACTGGTTATCTTATCAGTCGGTTGGATGGCTTTGATTGTCACTCAGAATATTCAGTCTATATCTTATATGGAAAACACTAACCAATCAGCTGTCTTTCTGTTCGTTTTAACAAGTTTAGTGATACACTAGTTAGATAGACCGAATCAGATAAATCGTGAAAGCGGGAGACGAGGTTCGACGGGTGCTATTTTTCAGTTCCATTGACGCTACCAGTTGTGGGATGTGAGTATATCCAGCTAGCAAGATACACTTTTTGAATTCCGCTGACAACTGCCCTCAAGATGTTTTATGTCGTGATAGAACGTAAGCTTCCATACCTCTTGTATACAATCCACAGTTATATGACACTGAAAAACTTCGAAAATAGGCAAAATCTATGACTACTAAAATCTACATGCTCAAGTCTATGTTAGGACAAGTTACGAATCTTGCTGAAGTTCAATCAGTATCCCGATAATCCTTGATGTTGATAACATATTCCATGGAAATTCAGAAATGATTAGTGAGGTTTAACTAAACCGTTAATGATAATTTGTATAATTGTGTGATTAATAAATAAATATTTTGAGGGAGTTGTAGGGATTTGGAAATATTTCAAGTTGTTATTCATCACAGACTGACATCAGTTGGAGGAACAAGGGAAACCTGGGAGCGCTGGATAGCTGTTTTATCCCAGTATGGGACTCCTCAGTAGTGCGCACCCACGACCTTCAGGTTCCGTGGCCAGCACGTTACCATTGAGCCACTGGGTCAGAATCCAGTGGTCCATATTTCCAACTTCTGTTAGCTCACGATATAGCGCAACCGCCACCCAACGTCATCGTTGAGTAACTGTCCTCACGATCATCAGGCTTTGCCCCCAGCTGTCACGACTTCTCATTGAAACTTTGGGAATACCTCTCAAAGCTGGTCACCAAAGAGCACTAGTTCAATTGAATTTTGAGGGAATTGTGGGGATTTTGGACCTGAAGGTTGTGGGTTCGATCCCTGGTGGGGTAGGGTCGTGGGTGCGCACTGCTGAGGAGTCCCATACTCCGACGAAACGGATGTCCAGTGCTCCCAGGTTTCCTTTGTTCCTCCAGCTGATGTCAGTCTATGATGAATAACAACTTTAAATAAATATTTGTTAGAATTACCTACAAACTCCGTAAACACATGAGGATATTCCAAATTGAAACTTGTCAAATCGATCAGACCATAAGCAGACCAATATAATGACTGAACAATTTCAAACAAACTAAAAATAAATCAATAAATAAAGAGTAGTAAATTTATAGTAATATCACAATTATTCTAAAATGCAACTAGTATCTAATTCAACCACGCAATTTTAAAGTGAAAACAAACTCAGAGAAATAATATACATGAAAGTTTCACTCACAACAAAAGAACATCGTCACAGGAAAGTGCTAAAATTAAGTAAGACTTAAATGATTACTAGGTAATCCATTAAAATGGGAAACGAATAAATGATGTAGCTTATAATGTTTTCCGCCTTATAATAATGGAAATAATTTGCCACGTGCGTTTTGTTTATACGTTATGGTGATAATCTTCAACTATTCCCGGTGCCTGTGAACCCTAGCTAGAAAGCGCGCTTAAAAGTATTTAGGATAAAGGATATCAGAAGTCAGTCTATTCAGTAAACCGTCTGTAGTCATAACACGTACAGTTTGTAATGACACTGCATTAAAAGTGAGGTTACTTAACATATTTTGAATGAAATAACTAATGAACTGTTATCATCCATTTGGAAAGATGATTTTTTTAAAAACAACATTCAATACAGTTATTATTATTTTTATTATTTGTCCCTTGGGTTACTTCCCAGTGGAACATAGGGCTTCAGTAACACACAGACACTTCACTCTCTTCACTCCACTCCTCTCAACTAGCTCCACGACTACACATTACCCTCAATTTATTCCTCACACCATCTCATACATATCACACTCGGCTCGGACAACTAACTCGTCGTTTCCCATTCGGCCTCCACTCGACGATCCAGCCTCTCCTGACCCAACCTCGCCTGATTCATCATATCCCTAAAACAGTCTTCTCAATCTATATCCAATACAATACAATACAATACAGTACAATACAGTACAATCCATCTACACTTTCTTCCTCCCCATATATTTGTTGGGCGATACATTCTTGGTCAGTTGGTTCGTTGACAGGTCACAGTGAGTTCCTTCTTACTTATTCTTATTATTCTCTCCATCGTTCTGATCTTCAGTGTCAGTATAGAGTGAGGGAGTGAGTGTAGGCGGTAACTGTTGACCATGTATGTTTGTAGTTTGTTGAAATGCTTTACGTGACGCTCCGCCAAGTCTCTCAACCATCACATAGAAGCACTGACTTACTTGACTTCCATTAGTGTTGGAAATCAGGATCTTGTTCACGCTTTATGCTGAGTGCAGTACATTGCAATATATCTCTACAGTGATTTCAGAATGATGAAGGAAGGCTTATCTTGCTGTCTTTTCAATCGTGACTTTCACACCCTCATCTGTGCCGCCGCCTTCGCCCCCTGTAGTTGATGCTGCCTAGGTAGGTAGGTGAAAGAGACATCTTCCTTTAGATTTCTCCCATTGATGGTCATTAGTGCTTGTTGTCTTTCTCTAGGTATTGAATATACCTGTTTCCAGTTATTTTGTATGACTTTTGAAATAACTCGTTTGTAATACTTCTCATAAATTTATTATACTAAGTCTAATTACCTATCAGAGTGTTGGTTGTTTGTGACAAGAAAAAATATTTTAGTTATCATAAAGGTTTCTTGAGTGGTTGTAGTTTTTCTAAACTAAAAAACAGGAATCCACTTGATCTGTCAGAGGTTAAATATTTCAAATGATTATTTTCGTTAAATTCTACATACACCTGGATACGTCAGAAGTTTGTATTTACCAAGTTCAGTTTAATAACACATCTGGTTTAAGGGAGGTTTTGAAATATAACTGCAAAAAAATAAATCTCTGTGTTTTGCTTCCCAAAGTATTCTGCTCTTGCGGGTCTTCAGAGAGGTTAACTCACAGTTATAGAACAGGTATTTCCTTTGTAAGTACTCATCTCAACAGTCATGATCAGAACATCACTCTTAGGTCGGCAAATTACTGTCAGAAATAAGCACCACATCTAATCACCATTAATGGGAGAAACCAAAAGGAAGTAGTGTCTCTCACCTACCTAGGCAGGCAGCATCAATTACAGGCGGCGTCACGCATGACGATGTCAAAGACAGGATCGGGAAAACTGCAAGACAGGCCTTCCTTCATTATTCTGAAATCAGTGTGGAGATCTACTCCACTCAGTGTAAAGCGTGAACAAGATCCGGATTTCCAACACTAATGGAAGTCAAGTAAGTCAGTGCTTCTATGTGATGGTTGAGAGACTTGGAGGCGCGTCACGTAAAGCACTTCCAACAAACTACACACATTCATCATCAGCTGCCTACACTCATTCACTCACTCACTCACTCACTCACTCACTCCATACTGACACTGAAGATCAGATGGATGGTGGAAATAATAAGAATAAGGAAGAAGGAAATGTAGCTGGCCGACAACGAACCTACCCACAACCTATCACCCAACAAATATGCAGAGGAATACAGTGGGGGTGGATTGGGCATACACTGAGAAAGTGGAGTGGGGACATCACACGTGAGGCGAGGCCGTTGAGTTGACTTTGAAGGGGAGACGACGAGTTGGGTTTCGGAGGTGAGGGTGACATTGAGGAGATTATGTGAGGAAGAAATGAAAGGTTATGGGTAGTCATGGAGCAAGGTTGTGACGACTGCAGAGAAGAGGGTGCAATGGCGATGTGCTACTGAAGCCGTATGCTCCACTAGAAACCGAAGGGAAAAATAATATAGTAATATGCACCACAACATCCTCCATTAGTACTCACAACGACTTAATAAATAATCTCAGTAATTGTTAAAACCCATAAGACAGCATTCTTGCAGTTATTGGTAAGAATTTATCGGTTACTTGCAGGTCATTATATTATCCTTAATAAACTGTGTGTTGCATTATTTATAATTATGTTATCGCAGTTGCACCTCTTGTATATAAGTGTTCATTTCATCGATTGATCTGAATTCGGCTTATTATAAAATATATATGTCGCCAGATGACTATAGGTTTCGTTCTATAACAGCTAGTCAGTCAGTCAGTACTTGTTTATTTGTGAAGAATATACTTACATTATCCATTTAAATAGCTGAGTTTTGCATAAATGTAAGACTGTTTTTCTACTTAGATTCTTCACATTTTTAAAATAATAGTTTTGATGTTGGTCAATTAAACGTTTTATGAAAACACTGTACTTCAGCAATTTGGGCCACCTTCATGCTCACTCCACTTGATGGTAATGGATAGGTTATTACTGCTCAATGCATTTGTATTAATTACTAATTATTGTGATTTGTTCTTGTAAAACGGATCTCATAGAGAAATAAGTGTAACAAGAAACTGTGCATACATTGTATCCTTCTGACAGTTTTTGACAGTCAACTATCTAGTTAAGTGGTTTGTACTGGATAGATTCATTTGAACACAGTTCTCTTTCTGATCAAAGTATTAGTTAGGGGATTCTTGAAGACGATGGAGCATACCAGCAGTTCCCTGTAAAAACTGTTTTCAATCTAGTCATCTAATACTTTCAGGTTAAAACATAACCAGTGCTAATCCGTCATAATATACAGTATACTTTTGGAAGAAATCTGACTAGTCTGATTTGTCTTATTCACCATGGATAAAATTTAATCAGCACTATGAACATAACGTCGCCTGGTCGACTAGTTCAATAGTTAATAGCCTGTACTAGGACCCAATAAAGATGGAAGGTTGGGCATAGGACAACCTAGAAACCCTACACCGGAAAACAAATCTAACCACTAAACAAACTTCAAAGCACAAACGATACATAAAAAATAATAACAAAATTATACCTCGCTGGAATCAGAGAGGCAAAATGACGCCAGTTGGTGAAAGCCTGAATTCGGGAAGCCAGTTGACCGGGCCGACGTGTCTTCTCTCTCTCGCTCCATGAAAGCGAAAGTAAACGTGGGGACATGCAATATCCGCACGATGTTTGAACCCAGCAAGGCAGACCAGATTGCAAACGAGATGAAGAGGTATCACATACAAGTGCTTAGAATTTGCGAAACCAGATGGAATGGGAGTGGACTCTACAAACTGTCAACTGGAGAGCAGGGTCAATAATCTACTCCGACACTGTCACACAGACGACAACCACGAGCACACTGAGTTATCGAGTGGCTATCATGATGTCCACATTCCAACAGCATCGAAGGCTCTCTCTCTCGTGCAGTGGGAACCAATCTCCTCTTCCAGGATCATGACAGCGAGGTTCAACTCAAAAGGAAGGAAGGAAGGTCACAATCATACAATACTACGCTACACTACGCACCTACAAATAATGCAGATGAAGAGAAGAAGGAGGAATTCTACAGACAACTTCAATCAACACTGGACAAGACCTCACTCTAGATGGCGATATCAAAATTCTAATGGGTGGGGCGACATGAATGCCAAACTGGGAGGGGGGAGGACAACGCAGGAAGAGAACTAACCATGGGTAGAGAAGAGCTCGGTGAGGTGATGAACGAGAATGGAGAATTGTTTGCAGAATTCTGTGCATTCAACGATTTGGTGATTGGAGATGGGGCACTATGTTCAAGCACAAGGATATCCACAAAGCGAGAGACATCGATTTCACCAGACACCAGATGGACACACCAAAAATCAAATCGACTTTATCTCAATATCAAGAAAATGGAGACGCAGTCAGCCTACTTGATACAAGGTGAAGAAGAGGAGCACATGTAGGTTCACACCACTATCTAGTGCAAGAAACCCACCTTCCAAATCAAGTTAAAAGCCTTCAAGGAAGCTGATGATAGACTGCAGTTCAAATACAACACTCGGAACAGAAACTGCACTTAAGAACGAAACTACAAAGGAAATCTTCACGGCAGCCAGCCATCAAAACAAAATGGGAGATATCGAGCAACATCCCTGAAGAAACCTGTGTGGAAGAACACTGGAAGTCATTGAAAGAGATGTGGAAAGAAACCTGCACAGCCGTATTAGGAAGGAAGAAGGTGGAAGACAAGGAATGGATCTCGACGGATACATGGAAGCTGATAGAGCAGGGAGAGGAGGATGGTGATGGTGAAGGAGAAGATAAACCAGTGCAAGGATGCTCAACGACAAGAGGAACTGAGTACAATGTATAAAACACAAGACTGGACAAAGAAGTGAAGAAGAAGAGTGCACGCAAAGACAGAAGACACTTCTACGAAACACTGGCAAGTGAAGCAGAATAGGCTGCCGGCTGGTAGGAGAGAGAGACCTGACAACATTGTATCAAATAACCAGGTTGCTATCTGGGAGGGAAGAGATCAACGCAGACGAAACCAATAAAAGATGAAGAGGGAAATTCAATTACGAAAGAAGAGAAACAAAGGAAACGATGGGCCGACCACTTCAAGGAGCTCTTGAATCGACCACCACCTGCACTTCGTCCACAAATACCACCTGCAGCCCAGCCACAGAACTACAAGTGAACATAAATCCTCCAACAAAAGTGGAAGGCCTGAACTCCATAAAGCTACTGAGATGCCGGAAGGCAGCAGGACCAGATGGGATCCCGCCACAAGCACTGAGAACAGACGCAGAGACAAGAGCAGCAGACATGCTCACACCACACCACTATTGCAGAAGGTGCGGAAGGAAGAAAGAGACCGGAACAGGCTGGCTGGCTGGCTGGCTGGCTGGCTGGCTAGCTGGCTGGCTGGCTGGCTAGCTGGCTGGCTGGCTGGCTGGCTGGCTGGCTGGCTGGCTAGCTGGCTGGCTGGCTGGCTGGCTAGCTGGCTGGCTGGCTGGCTGGCTAGCTGGCTGGCTGGCTGGCTGGCTAGCTGGCTGGCTGGCTGGCTAGCTGGCTGGCTGGCTTCAGGAAGTACAAATCATGTGCAGACCGAATTGCAACGCCACACCACGCATCATCATAGAACAGAGTATAGAATGACAGTCAACTCTCTCTCTCTCTCTCTCTCTCTCTCTCTACCTCAACTCCATCGACTTTGAAAAGGCCTTTGACAGCGTCGACCGAGAGATAATTTCGAATCTGCTTCAATACTACGGAATACCGCAAACCTTTATCAGCCTCATTCATCAGCTATATGAAGACGCCACATACCAACCAAGTAATTCACAATGGAAAGCTCACTGATGCTTTTGAAGTGAAGTGAAGTGAAGTGAAGTGGAGACAGGAGTGAAACAAGCTTGCCACCTACTATCACACATGATATTCATGATTGTGTTGTGGTCGACTGGATCATGCAGCAAACAGTGTGGAGCGAGAAGAGGGGGATACGCTGGCTGGACTAAGGAAAACAACCTAGAAGATGTTGATCTCGCCAACGATGACTTGTCTCTGATGTCGCACAAACTGGAAGATCTACAGGCGAAAACTAACAAGTTGACAGAAGAGGCAGGGCAGGGCAGGGCAAGGCAGGGCAGGGCAGGGCAGGGCAAGGCAGGGCAGGGCAGGGCAGGGCAAGGCAGCGAAGACGGGACACCATTCAAGTGAATGTAGAGAAGACAGAGGTGATGAAGATACCGCACCAACAACACCACCAACAACAGCTACAACAAACTCCAATCGTCATCAATGACAGAAACTTAAAGCAAGTAACCTCCTTCACCTACACCTATCTAGGCAGCACTGTTTCAACTACAGGCACCACAGGCACAGACGAGGATGTCAAGGTCAGCCAGGATCGGAAAAGCAAGACAGGCGTTCATTAGCCTGAAACCAGTGTGGAGGGAGATCTTCTGCATTGCACTCAACATGTGGAACAACATCCGGATTTTCAACACGAACATCAGTCAAGTCAGTGCTCCTATGTGATGGTTGAGAGACTTGGCGACGCGTTACGAAAGGGATTTCCAACAAATTACAGACATTCATCAACAACTGCCTACACTGGCTCGATACTGAAAACAGATCAGATGGCCAGAATAACAAGAATAAGCAACAGGGAACTCACTCTGGCCTTCCAAAGAAACCAAGCAAGGAGCTCTCGTTGAACAAATATGCACTGGAAGGGAGTGGAGATGGATTGGATTGGATTGGACTGTGCATACACTGAGAAGGCGGACTGGGGACATCACGCGTCAGGTCATTTGCTCGAGTGGAACCCGGATGAGAAGTGACGAGTTGGGTGTCGGAGCAGAGTGTGAGATGGAGGAGATCGTGTGAGGAGGAAACGAGAGGTTGTGGGCTTTCGTGGAGCCAGGTTGAAAAGATTTCAGAGAAGAGAGTGGAATGGAGACTTGCTAGTGAAGCCCTATGTTCCATTAGGAACCCAAGGGACTAATAATAATAATAAAATGAACATAGATGTCACATTGTATATCACCTAGTGACCAATGCCGGTACATAATCCAATCATGTACTGGTCTAATATGATTAGAGAATGCCTAATTGTCAAATAGTGAATGACTTAATTTCCAGCCTCTGAGAGGACGTGAGTTCGTCCATTCGCAACATCGTAGTTACGTCTTTTTGATTAGTCTTCAGTATCGCGTGAAAGCTGGATTAAACACTGCCTCCCGTTTACTGACTTCTAAATTTTCATACTTCCTGTTATTAAAAAATATTATTTAAAAAGATGTATATACCTACTTCGCTTTGACATTGAATCAAAAAATCGAAACTAAGTAACATAATACCAGTTAATATTAAAGAGGATTTAGCCGCAAAAAGATAAAAGTAGAAAGAAGGGTTAAAAACTGTTTTTAAAAAATACCCATTTATTACCTGTGATTTCTGTTAATGTCATTATATAGGATTTAATGTGATACGATATTAGTTAATGAGCGCCATAGTATATTGTTTTATGTAATTACACCACATTGTGGATAAGATGGAATCGATTAAGTAACAGAGGAGAGTATGCAGTCTTCAACTTACATGATAGTAATAAAGTCTTACGTATACACGCAAGTATGTAGTAAACAAAAATGGGAACAGCCAAGGAGTAGGGCTTATTTTGATGTTGAAGTACAGCGTGGAACTAGTAGTTAATAAGCCTATGACTTCTCAGGTTATGAATTTCTCTGTATTTCAGACTACTTCCAGGGAGACAACAAATGTTCACTGATGATACTGGGTAACCGAGAAGTATGTGATGTCTGGTGTTGCTCAGGACTACCGATTACAAGGTTAAAAACAAGTAGTTCAGCAGTAACATGATGATTATGTTTCCAAAAAACTTCAGACATACATAATCAACAGTTGCCACCCACACCCACTCCCTCACTCTATACTGACACTGAAGATCAGAACGATGGAGAGAATAATAAGAATAAGTAAGAAGAAGCTCACTGTGACCTGTCAACGAACCAACTGACCAAGAATGTATCGCCCAACAAATATATGGGGAGGAAGAAAGTGTAGATGGATTGTATTGTATTGGAGATAGATTGAGAAGACTGTTTTAGGGACATGATGAATCAGGTGAGGTTGGGTCAGGCGAGTCTGGATCGTCGAGTGGAGGCCGAATGGGAAACGACGAGTTAGTTGTCCGAGCCGAGTGTGATATGTATGAGATGGTGTGAGGAATAAATTGAGGGTAATGTGTAGTCGTGGAGCTAGTTGAGAGGAGTGGAGTGAAGAGAGTGAAGTGTCTGTGTGTTACTGAAGCCCTATGTTCCACTAGGAAGGAATTAAAGTGGCGAATAATATTAATAATAATAATAATAATCATGAGACTTTGATACTGTTATGTTGATTTTGTAAAGGACTGCATATGGTACTGCTTGAAATGATAGAAAAAATTATCGAATTTCGTTATACACAATCAGCACTGCTCACTTTGTAAAATAAGTCCCACGTGTAATACAATAATCATACACATCTTTTTGACCTTCTTCCAGTGTAAAATGAACATTTTTACAATTTCTAGCTCGATTCTTTGCATAAAACCAATATAATTGGTTGAAACCAAATGCAAATGCCACCAGTACAAGGAAGTAAACACAAAAGAATCGAAATATATCGTACAACATTCTACCAAGAGATATTTGTAATGGACCAAGTTGTGGACTAACAGTGAATACATAGACTAATTTCAATGTAGATACAATATTCGCGGCAGCAAATAAACACTCTGAAACAAGCACTGGATCGAATGAATCCCATTGGCCACGATTTACATAACGTGGTTCATTGTAGAACACAGTCTATGTTGATTATTTGTAAAAATAAATAAATTAGAGGTAATAAAATAAAGAATTTATTCATTGAAAAAAAGGAATACACAAATAACTAATTAATTTTTCTTCTAAATATTCTAACAAGTAAATATCTATGAACAACTAAGTGATAAGTTCGTATCACTGTACAATATGTATCATTAATGCAAAATGCTCAATGTATCTACGACGTTTAAATTTTCCGTATGATCTATTTAAATAGATAACTGATGCTTTTTGTCACTTGAAAATACCATGCATATTTATATTTCTCTTATCGTTATCACTGGTCAGTATCTATCTACAAAGGTCAAATGAGTTTCAGACAACCGATCACCTAGCCAGTTATTCTAGCATGAATAAGCTTTCACTTATATACAAATTATATAACTCAAGTAAGTCAACCATAAGCTAGCGATTCAATTGAAGATAGTCGATTGATGAAAATATCAATGTCAGTAGACGACCGATGAGTGCAGAGCTGCATTTTTAATCATTGAAACAGCCTCAAGAATGTTGGTAGCTAAGCACAGTCAGATAATTTTCTATCTCTTGTTCAATGGAAGTTTTCAAGGCGTTAATGTCAACCAGAGAGTTCAATGGTCATCAAGATTTTTATCTCAAACATAACATCATTAACAACTATGTACTGAAGAAACTTGAGTGTGAAAGCAAATAATTAACAATAAACCTAAGTCTATTTACGGAAACCCATAACGCGTCTTACAGAAATCAGAAGAATAATATGAATGTTTCAGAATTTTACCAAACATAAATGAATTAATAGTGTAAAGCTTACTTACATCCCGTTTTCTTATTTAATCCATCAGTGATATATACATTTTCTGTCTAATGTTTATTAGGAGATCTCAGTAGAAAGTATATGCACCGCACAGTCAACTAATATACTTAAAAGGAACCAAACCGGTTATAAAATGAACAAATAACTTATCTGAATCATGAATTATCTTTTGAAGAACTTGTCTAAGTAGAATTTCTTGTTATCAGATAGCAACAAATGTCATGTGGCCTCAACTCATGAACTGAGAAAAGTCTATTGATCATGGTCGAACTCAAACTCAGCACGAAACATATGCCTAGAGTACCTACTAATGTCAATAGACTAACTCCGATTCAATGGGGTTTCAAACGATAATTTAGAAAAAAATTACTATTGACTGAATAATAAGATAAAAAGACTCAGACATGCATTTATTCCTTGCATTTTATGAATAATATTGCTAATTCGATATCCAATTAAGGCGTTTCTTCGATTCCACTGCTAGCCGCTATCCATGAATACTATTAAAAGAAAACTATAGGCAATATCGAAGTATTCACACAGGAGCTAACATGTCAATTTTTGCAGACCTGTTCGATCCAATCAACGGTGGGAAATTACAAGTGATAACCTTACTTTATATTTTCAAATATACATGCGTAAATGTTACAGCTAATCAAAATTATTTTCTAAGAGAAAGGTGAAAAACGTCTGCCAGAATGACAATCGTGTATTTTAAATCACCAAACCTTTTAAACAGAACAAAACTTTTAACAGGACTTCTTATTCACCATTTTAGATTGTTCTGGATCCCATTGACTAGCAGTTTCTGTTGGCATATCGGCTCCTGTAAGGATGTCATCACATAGCCAGTGGTTTCATTTTGATATTAAGGATGAATTATATATATATATATATATATATATCTTAAAATAATATCATTTGTGAGAAACCGGTAAGCGTATCATTATTATTTCTTGGTGAAGATGATAAAGGTGATGACTAAGATACCGCTAGGAGCTCTCCTTATCTTCTCAAATTAATTATCAGGTTGAAAAACATCTCCATTTTATCACTTGCAGAAATAGGCTCGATGAGCTGTTTCCATTTGAGAATACTCATGAAAAAAAGAGACAGTTGAAGGTTATTCACTTTTTTCCAATGATGTCTCACTTCTTGTGAGTATCTTTTTCCGAAAATTATCTTCAATTAGTTGTTCAAAAAGTGAGCCCTCAACTTATAAGTGTAGGGATTTGACTTTTAATTACTATTTAATGGGTTTGAACATCACCCTACCAAGTAAGGTTCAGACTAATGCATGAACCTGAACTTGGTAATATTCTTTTAAAGAGAACAAACTCAACAAATTATAAGAAGCAGACTACACTTTTTGGTGTATACATAAAGTACACATTTTATAGTATAAAATATCTACTCCTTTTAAAAACACAACTTACTCTAGCCCAAGCTACCGTTCTCAATGATATAGTTGCTATATAAAGTGCATTCATGACAAAGTCTACAAGATTCCACATATCTGTTAAATGAGCTCTTAAACCCCATATATACAACTTTTTCATTTGTTGCCAAACAAAACCTGAAAACAAATGTAGAAGAAAACTATGAATATTATTATCACTATTATTCACCCTTGGGTTCCTTCCTAGTGGAACATAGGGCTTCAGTAACACACAGACATTTCACTCTCTTCACTCCACTCCTCTCAACTAGCTCCACGACTACACATTACCCTCAATTTATTCCTCTCACCATCTCATACATATCATACTCGGCTCGGACAACTAACTCGTCGTTTCCCATTCGGCCTCCACTCGACGATCCAGCCTCGCCTGACCCAACCTCGCCTGATTCATCATGTCCCTAAAACAGTCTTCTCAATCTATATCCAATACAATACAATACAGTACAATACAATACAATACAATACAATCCATCTACACTTTCTTCCTCCCCATATATTTGTTGGGCGATACATTCTTGGTCAGTTGGTTCGTTGACAGGTCACAGTGAGTTCCTTCTTACTTATTCTTATTATTCTCTCCATCGTTCTGATCTTCAGTGTCAGTATAGAGTGAGGGAGTGGGTGTGGGTGGCAACTGTTGATTATGTATGTCTGTAGTTTGTTGGAAATGCTTTTCGTGACGCTCCGCCAAGTCTCTCAACCATCACACACAAGCACTGACTTACTTGACTTCCATTAGTGTTGGAAATCAGGATCTTGTTCACGCTTTATGCTGAGTGCAGTACATTGCAATAGATCTCTACAGTGATTTCAGAATGATGAAGGAAGGCTTATCTTGCTGTCTTTTCAATCCTGGCTTTCACATCCTCATCTGTGCCGCCGCCTTCGCCACCTGTAGTTGAGACATGTAAATTGGTACCTGGTGAGGATTGGGGTGAAAAGAAATTTGTGGCCGCATCAAGTTTCAAATCAGCGACCAACTACCATGTCTCAAGTTTATATTTTGTCCTCAAACATCATCCATCATCAACGCAATTCTGCTAGACCACGGCTATCTCAAATAGTCAAATTGATAACATATAAATTATCAAAATTCTTCATTTATAAATTAAGATTTTTTTTGATTTTTCTGATACTTTTTATTCCTTAATTTTACATGACCTTATGTTCTATCATGCAATCATTTAAAGTATATGATTAGATAATATTATCCTAATAACCGTTGTAATTTTTGGCGCTGTCTAGAAGTGATGAACATCTGTGAAGTAAAGTGATACCACTTCATTCTGCAAATCTAGTGTTTCTTAGCTTTGGTAATTTGGTTGATTGTAGCTAGTACGAGAACCCTGGACGCGCGTTTCTGCTTACTTGGGACTCGTCAGCCGAATGTACCTGCACCCCAGCGTAGAGTGATGTTTTTCCCACCGAGACTCGAACTTCATACCCATCGCTTCAAACGCCAAGGCGTTATCCACTGTAACACGAAGGAACGATAGCCACTGCTTGTACAACGGGTAGTAGTTATTACTATTTATTGACATACTTGGAATTCTCCATTGTTTTCTTGGATCGGATTGTTCGACCTCTATTGGGATATGGGCTCCTATGCGGATGCCTCGATATTGCCTGAATGTTAACTATGGTAATTCGGTTGGTTATGGCTAGCAAAAGAACCTAGGACGCGCGTTTCTTTACTGGCCAACAGAGGTAGAACAATTCATTCCAATAAAAACGGCGGAGAATTACAAGTATATCAATAAATAGTAATAACTTTCTTACTTTGTTTAAACTCATTAAGGAAAAGAAATAAATTAAGCTACTTACCTATAACGTAGACAACTAAAGCTGACTCTGTTATAGACGGTGTTGGTCCACGATCATGCATACGTTGATCAAGAGAATTTGTCAATAAGAATTCAACACGTATAGCAGCCAGTGTGAGTAATGCTAGTAAAGTAATATCATATAGGTATAAGGTATAGGTGTAGGTATACGCAAACTGACAGCAATAATAGTAATAATAATTACGAGGTGAGATTAGTTACATAAAGTGGGATAATGTTGACATTTCTTTGTTTTTTGGTTAAAACATGAAGATTATGATGACTGAAGGCATGATAAAATGGAGATCCACCTACCGTTTGAGCTAGTGGTCTTCAGATTACCAATTTGTTCAATTCACCTGCATTATTTTATAAACTCTGTTCAATATCAGACGTTTTATGACCAGTAGTATCTCAAATAGTCTAATTAATATTCTGGTTAAATGGTCAGACTCACTTGCAGAAACAAAGTAAATAAGATTTGATGTTATATTTTGTAAATCTCGACCGTTGATAACACAGAACTGACCAGCCACCAATGGTATATAAGCTCTAGCGCTTATGCTTCGATATTAATATTAATGATGGACAGTGGCTAGCAGTGAAATCCAATGCAAGCGTTTTGTGCTGTTTGAGACTGGTTAGCTGAATGTACCTGCCCTCTAGTAAGTGATGTTATTCCGCGCAAGACTCGAACCCAGGAAAAGTCGATTCGAAAGTAATTAGTAATATCAAAGCAGAAAAGATTTTGAAAGAATGTCTAATGCTTTCCACCAAATAATTTAAACCAGTTTGGATTGGAACAAGAAGACCCATATAGACAGCTACTGTAATATATTATTGAGAACTGGCTATCCCTAAATGGCTTATTAAATGAATAAAGCCAAAAGATAGCCTAACTAGCAGTTGGGTTTTGTAGGCAAATCGATAGAGGTTACTGGTTGGAATGATACGCGATCTAGGCTTTTTCTCAACTTCACAATTCATACACATAAATATATTTTGACTGTTTAATGCAAAACCCATAACATCACTTTAAACATCATCATCTTCATTTCGTTTTACTGAACTGTACTACGTATAACATTTGGACAAGACTTGAAACTTTTATCTATACGAAAGAAAAACGATCAGTTAAAGCTATTCCCGTTGTAAGATAAGTTGGCTCATATGTAGGATGAGGACATGATGAATGGTTTAATTTTTTCTGATGTTCACCAACGCACTTCCAGTATTAGGAATGGATAGTGGGTAGCAGAGGAATCCAGGTAGTGTATTTCATCCTATTTGGGATTCATTAAACTATACTAGAAGTAGTAGTAACTCAATATCCTAGTGGATAACACTCTAGCTTTTGAAACCATAAGTTTTCCGTTGAGCCTTTACAGTAAAGCCATCACTCGCTGGAGAGTGGATACATCCGGCTGACGAGTCGCAAACATAACGAAAGTTGCACCTTAGGTCACACTGTTAGCCACTATACATTCTTAATATCGAAAATGAAATCACCGGCCATATCGAGGCATCCCTACGGGGACCTAAATATCCATAGAGACTCATCATTTCGGTTCAAACCAATCAGCACTAAGAAATAGACAGTTCTAATGTCATAGTTTCAGCATAAAAACTTCCCAACCTGTTTTATTTAATCACAGTTTCAACTGATGGAGAATGCTTTTTTCCACTAGTTAGTAATGTTTTCAGAAGTAATAAGATATCTTCGTAGAGAAATGAATGTTTTCTCTGCCTTCAGATATCAGGTTTTAGGAATTGTTATTCTTATTCGAATTATTTTTCCCTTCGGTTTCTAGTGGAGCATACGGCTTCAGTAGCACAACGCCATTGCACCCTCTTCTCTGCAGTCGTCACAACCTTGCTCCATGACTACCCATAACCTTTCATTTCTTCCTCACATAATCTCCTCAATGTCACCCTCACCTCCGAAACCCAACTCGTCGTCTCCCCTTCAAAGTCAACTCAACGGCCTCGCCTCACGTGTGATGTCCCCACTCCACTTTCTCAGTGTATGCCCAATCCACCCCCACTGTATTCCTCTGCATATTTGTTGGGTGATAGGTTGTGGGTTGGTTCGTTGTCGGCCAGCTACATTTCCTTCTTCCTTATTCTTATTATTTCCTCCATCCATCTGATCTTCAGTGTCAGTATCGAGTGAGTGAGTGAGTGAGTGAGTGAGTGAGTGAGTGAGTGAGTGAGTGAGTGAGTGAGCGAGTGAGTGAGTGAATGAGTGTAGGCAGCTGTTGATGAATTTGTGTAGTTTGTTGGAAGTGCTTTACGTGACGCGCCTCCAAGTCTCTCAACCATCACATAGAAGCACTGACTTACTTGACTTCCATTAGTGTTGGAAATCCGGATCTTGTTCACGCTTTACACTGAGTGGAGTAGATCTCCACACTGATTTCAGAATAATGAAGGAAGGCTTATCTTGCAGTCTTTTTGATCCTGGTTTTGACATCCTTGTCTGTGCCGCCACTTGTAGTTGAAGCGATGCTGCCTATGCAGGTAGATGAAAGGAACAAGTTACTTTAGATTTGTCCCATTCATGGTGATTAGTACTTGTTGTCATTGTTGTTATTGTTGTTGATGACTGGGCATGTTCATCACCTCTGTCTTCACCCCAAGGAAGTCCCATCTTCCCTCCCCGCATCATTTCTGTCAATTTGTTAGGCTTCGCCTGTAGATCTTCCAGTTTGTGCAACATAAGATATTAGACACAAATCATCATTGTTGGTGAAATCCAACTCTTCTAGGGTCTTTTCATCGGTCAAACAGCGTGTGTATTCCCATCTTATCACTCCTCACAGTTTCTTGCATGATCCACTCCAGTCCATTAAATCACAATCACGAAGATCATTGGTGACAGTAGGCAGCCTTGTCTTACTCCTATCTTCACTTCACTTCAAAGGCGTCACTGAGCTTTCCATTGTGAACCACTTGGCATGTAGCATCATCATCATCATCTTCATATAGCTGTGTGAATGAGGTTGGTAGAGGTTTGTGACACTAAAACTGCAGTGTTGAAGTAGCTGCTTGCTAAATTACTTCTCGGTCGACGCTATCCAAGACATTTTCAAAGTCGATGAAGTTGAGGTAAAGTACCAGTTGACTGCCACTCTGGCTCTGTTCTATGACGATGCGTAGCGTTGCAATTTGACCCACGCAAGATTTGTTCTTCCTGAGGCCAGCCAGCCAGATAGCCTATTCCGGTCGTAATTCCGAATCCAGCGAATCCTTAGTCTCTCCAGAATGATGCGGCTTAATATTTTGCTCGCTTTGGGTGGACAGAAGTGGCGCATGATTCCCCGCCAGTTCTTGCAAAGGCTTAGGACTCACATCTTTGGGAGTTTGACAACGTAGCCATTCTCTCAATCAACAGGCAGATGTATTTCCTTCCTTTCTTCCAAACCTTCTGCAGTGGTGGTGTAGTGTGAGCAGGTCGGCTGTTGCCTCTGCGCTATTCTCAGTGCTTCCGGCGGAATTCCATCTGGTCCTGCTACTATCATTAATTTCAGCAGTCTCACTGAATTCAGGGATTCTGCTTTTGTCAGAGGGCCTCTGTTCACTAGTAGTTCTGCAGTTGCTGGCGGTACTTCTCGACAAAGGAGATACAAGTTGTGGTCGAAGTGGTCCATTCAAGAGCATTTTGAAGTGGTCAACACTCTTCCCTACCAGATAACAAGGAAACTGGTTATTTGATATAATGTTGTCACGTCCCTGTCTCTCCTACCTCCAACCTGTTCTCCTTCAATTGACAATGTGTCCCAGTAGTGTATTTTGTTTTTGCACACACTCTTCTTCACTTCTTTGTCCACTGTAATGTTTTATACGTTGTACTCACTTCCTTTTTTCGCTGTGCATCCTTGCACTGCACTGCACTGCACTGCAATGCACTGCAATGCAATGCACTGCAATGCAATGCAATGCAATGCAATGCAATGCAATACAATACAATGCAAGCAGTGCAATACAGTCACTGGTTCATCTTCTGCTTCATCATCATCATCATCAACATCATCTTCCTCTCACTCTCTATCACCTCACATTTATACATCCACATCCATTCCTTCTCTCATCTCGCCTATTCCTCTTTCCTAATACCGTTATACAGGTTTATCTCAATACACCCTTCAAACAGTTCAAGTCTTCTTCCAAAACACATCCTTCAACCATGTTGCTCAATCTCTCACACTCTCTTCTCATGACTGATAACGTGAAGATGTACTCTGTAGTCTCCTCATTCACTTCACCTTCTCTTCTCACTGTTCAACTTCAACTCTGGTCCATCTATCATCACCAACTCCTGTGAAGGCTGTCAACTTGATTTCGAAGTTGGGTGGGTGGGTTCCTTCCACTAGATAGTGGTGTGACTGGTGTCACTGGTGTGAGTGGTGTGAGTGATGTGAACCACCGACATCTGCTCACCTTCTTCATCTCATCTCATCCCATCTCATCTCATCTCATCACATCACATCACATCTGATGTGACCTCGTGTCCAGTAGGTTGGCTGCGTCTCCATCTCCACTCTCTTCACATTGACATGAAGTCCATCTGATTTTCGGTGTAGTCTATCCTGCTGTGTCCATCTGGTGAATGGTGTATGGTGAATGGTGAACGGTGAAATATAATCCATGTCACTCACTACCTTGTCAACATCCTTGTATTTCTACACACTGCATCGCCTCCAATCACCAAATCGTAGAATGCACACAAATCTGAAAACACTTCTCCATTCTCACTCATCACTTCACCCAGTGCTTCTCGACCCATGATGATCACTTCTCTTCCTGTCTTGTCCTCTCGCCACAGTTTCGCATTCAGACTTGTCACCTCATCGATCTGAATGGATTTTGATGTCGCCAACTGGGGTGTGTTGAGTATTGAGTGTTGAGTGTGTTGTGGAGTGTTGATTCCAGTTGTCAGTACAATTCCTCCTTCGCCTCTTCATCTGCATTATTTTTAGGTGTGTAGTGTGTAGTGTAGTGTGGTGTGGTGTAGTGTAGTGTAGTGTAGTGTAGTGTAGTGTGGTGTGGTGTAGTGTAGTGTAGTGTAGTGTAGTGTAGTGTAGTGTAGTGTAGTGTAGTGTAGTGTAGTGTAGTGTAGTGTAGTGTAGTGTAGTGTAGCATTGAATGAGTGTGACTTTGATGCATTTTGAGTTCAATCCATCTTGCTGTCATGATGCTGAACGTGTAGCAGCAGCAGCAGCAGCAGCAGGAGATTGCTTCCCACTGTATCAGAGAGAACATTCGACAGATACTGTTGGGAGTGGGACATCATGATATCCACTCGAAAAGTCAGTGTGCTGTCTCCCTGGTTGTCGTGTCGGTGACAATATCGGAGTAGATTATTCACTCCTCTCCAGTTGTTGACACTTTGTACAGTCGACTTCCATTCCATCTGCAGATTCCTCACAGATTCTCAGTCTACCACTTCCATCACATTCCTCCTCAGTCTGGACAGCCTTGTCAGCTGAGTTCATACATTGTGTGGACATTCCATGTCGACATGCCTACTTTCGCTTTCGTCGAGAGAAGGGAAGATATGTTGGCCAATTGTCTTCGTCAAGGCTTTCACATACCGGTGTCATTTCATCTCTGTGTGGTCAGGGAGGAATAAGTTTTTTAAACTGATTTCTTTGTGCTTTGAAGTTTGTTTAGTGGTTAGAGTGGATTTGTTTTAGTGGATAGGGTTGCTAGCTGTATGCGGAACTTCCCCTGTTTAATGGGCTTTGGACCAGCTAGTAACTAGTGAACTAGTTGTGCAGGCTAGGTTCCTCTTCAACAGATAATACAAAGGAACATTTTGAGTAATTAGAAACCATTCAGGCTGATCTGCAGTGTTGCGCCTTTCCAGATCAGAGTAATCTATGCACTGGACGACCATTTCGATCGTTTGGTGCGGAGTTCATCAATGGTGTAACGAGAAAAATTGAACTCACACAGCCAAATTTGTTCAGATCACCTGAATTTATCTAGCTATCTGATTTGCGTGGATAGGATTGCTAGCTGTATGGCGAACTTTCGCTGTTTAATGGGGCTTTGGACTGGCTAGTCACTAGTGAACTAGTTAACCAGGCGAGGTTAGTTTTAATAATTACACTGATGTAAAGTTATTGATTGTTTTGTGCACTGATCGTTGGTTTGAAGTTTCGTCAAATGCGCTTCCCTTTGTCCACACTCATGATTGGTTCACTTCTAAGCCAGTAACATTTTTGGTTATATTCCTTAAAACTTCACACACAGAAAGTTTCAGAAAAAGCAATAGGAAATACCATAATTGAATTTGAGTTGGGCGAGCTACCAGTCGTATAGATGAACAGAATGATAACCAGCACAACCGAGGTTTTTCTCTGAGTAAACTGCGTTCTGTATTTAAGAATTATTACAAGCTTACAATAAATATTTAGTATTAGAGATTATTCATACTTTTTCCGGATGAACTGAGTTCCACTTTAATCTACTCCATTTCTTATTCTTGCTTTCTACACCGCTAACCAACCTACAGGATTTCTCAAGCCGGAAATCTTTCCAGTCTGAACTTATGACTTCCGACAAAGATACATGCTTATCATTAGGATAAGCCCCAGAATTACTCCACAAGAAAAACAGATTGTTGTAACAGACCTTCTTAGATTGTGACTCACAGATTACCAAGAGTACTCCCCTAGGAAGGTCGAATAACTACTGACCATATAAGAGATATTCTTAAGTTATCCCAGTAAGGGTAACTTTAAAATGAATCCAAGTTTTCTCCTAAAAATTATATACGAACAGTTATCATCTTATACACAATAAATAAAAAGTTAAACGTTTTGTTTTTCACAATATAACAATCACACTTTATCATTCTTTGTTTTATTCTTACCTAGAAATGATAAATATGAACTACTATGACATAAAAATTTAATAAATGGTTTTTTCATCATACTACCCATTTTTGAATGTGGTGCAAGCATATAGAATGTAGCCAGTAAAGGGAACATTGAACATAATGTTGCTATAGTTGTCAATTGGGCAAACATTGGTTTTTGACGAAATCCAGGTAAACCTTCATACCAGATTGCAGCTAGTAATTGTTGACAATGTGGATGTGCTACAAACTAGGAAATAAAGTTAAATAAGAATTGATCAGTAGGAAATGATCAAAAAAATAAGTGTAGATTAGAGTATTGGAAGAAATTATCTACTTGTGTTGATTGGTATTCTTAAACTGGAGAAATAAATTTTTGAGTAATCCAAGTAAGTTCAAATGAATATGAAATCCCAATGACTGAGTTGGAGATTTTGCTATGCGTATTGCCTCATGGACTGCGTTGTTGTAGTAGATTGACAGAACTACATTAAAAGGTTAGAGCATACTTCAGAATCGTTCCTTGTTTGCATAAGGCTGACTTAAAAAGTAACATTAAAGGTGTGAGGTGTACTACCTCATTAATTAGGGATCAGAGAAGTCAATAGCTTGAAACTAAAAATGACATCCTATAAAATTATGATTATTATTATTTGTCCCTTGGGTTACTTCCTAGTGGAACATAGGGCTTCAGTAACACACAGACATTTCACTCTCTTCACTCCACTCCTCTTCAACTAGCTCCACGACTACACATTACCCTCAATTTATTCCTCACACCATCTCATACATATCATACTCGGCTCGGACAACTAACTCGTCGTTTCCCATTCGGCCTCCACTCGACGATCCAGCCTCGCCTGACCCAACCTCGCCTGATTCATCATGTCCCTAAAACAGTCTTCTCAATCTATATCCAATACAATACAATACAGTACAATACAATACAATACAATACAATCCATCTACACTTTCTTCCTCCCCATATATTTGTTGGGCGATACATTCTTGGTCAGTTGGTTCGTTGACAGGTCACAGTGAGTTCCTTCTTACTTATTCTTATTATTCTCTCCATCCTTCTGATCTTCAGTGTCAGTATAGAGTGAGAGAGTGGGTGTGGTTGGCAACTGTTGATTATGTATGTTTGTAGTTTGTTGGAAATGCTTTACGTGACGCTCCGCCAAGTCTCTCAACCATCACATAGAAGCACTGACTTGACATTGCTGTTGAAAATCCGGATCTTGTTCACGCTTTACACTGAGTGGAGTAGATCTCCACACTGATTTCAGAATGATGAAGGAAGGCCTGTCTTGCAGTCTTTTTGATCCTGGTTTTGACATCCTTGTCTGTGCCGCCACTTGTAGTTGAAACGATGCTGCCTATGCAGGTAGATGAAAGGAACAAGTTACTTTAGATTTGTCCCATTCATGGTGATTGGTACTTGTTGTCATTGTTGTTATTGTTGTTGATGACTGGGCATGTTCATCACCTCTGTCTGCTCTACGTTCACCTGTAGAAAGTTCCGTCTTCCTTCGCTGCCTCGCCTCGCCTGGTCTTTCTGCCAACTTGTTGGTTTTCGCCTTTAGATCTAGTTTGTGCAACATAGGATATTAGACATAAATCATCATTGTTGGCGAAATCCAACTCTTCTAGGGTCTTTTCATCGGTCAAACAGCGTATATTCCTATATTCTCACTCCTCACAGAAAGTCAAAATGATAATCAATATGATGCTCTCCCTCTTTAGTTCAGTTAGATTTGGATTGGCATGCGAAGTCTTGACCAGGAAGCCAGTTTGAGTACGATCAAGCCGTAGTATAATGTCACGAATTCACATGGTAGTTGGAAAAAACCCATGGTGTTTGAAGTGAAATAAAAATCTAGTGAGCAGTCGGACCTCGTAGCTCAGTTGGTTCAGCATTGGGCCGAAAACCTGGTGATCTTTGGTTCGAATCCGACGGCAGTCTGAATTTCCATTTCACCTTCAATCATCGCCAGTATAAATGAAGTACCTTAAATGAAGAATTTATAAGACTTCTGAGCTTAACATAATATATCCTACCACCAATTCAAAAATATCTTTTGCACAAAAAAGTTAAAGAGTTGGTTAAAAGCGATTTCCAGGAAGCCCTGTTTGACCTAGGTTTCAAGCTTGGCGGCACTCGTCAGCAAGGCATACCTACAACCTCTAGGGAAGTGACGTCCCCTCTCAGATTTGAAACCCGCGTCATTTAGTGCTGGAGTCAGTAACGTTATCACTGAGCTATTTGCCCTGAGACTGATCTCCTGCAGTTAAACAGTGACAGCCATAGTCAGCAGCTGAACAGGAAAACCGACACTTAGGGTTGATTGATAAGTATTACTTATTTTAAGTTGACCAAAAAAGATACTTACTAGCTTGGACAAGACTACTGAGAAACATGAAAATTGTTCGTGAACCAAACTACAAGCTTATGTTTAACGTATTTTACGCAAAAAAAGTGTCTGCATTCTTCTTTTCAATGGGAGAGGATTATTCTGCAGAATTTTCATCAGTTGACTGTCAGCTCTTATCATTTCTTCCTACAACATCGTACCATATACTACTTGTGTATATTTTTGTAAGTAGCACATACCACTATTTACGATACCATCTTGTTAGTATGTTGCAGCATTGTGTATTGGTAACCGATTCACAGACAATTTGAAGCTGTAACTTTTAAAATAGGAAGAATCTAATTACCTAAACTAAGACAACAGACAATTCTGCTTTCCAATATCCATTCAGAAAGAGTTTATTGTTCGTCTAGGCATCTTGACTGGCTTTTCGGCGTTATTCTTTCGATAGTTGACTGAGACCATTATTCTTTAACACAACTGTGATATTTATGTTCACTTCAATTCATATCTATGCTTTATCAGTACGGAATTCCGAATATAAAATGAAGGCGCTTCACACATCGTTCGCTTGTTTAAATTACAAATAGAAATCAGTCCCCATAACGGATTTATGTCAGCTGGAAAAGTGTCAAAAATGCTGGAGGAATGTATAACTGGGACTCCTTAGCAATCTGCGCCTGTGACCGCCAGTTTTCCCGGTTAGCGTGCAACTATTTAGCAACTGAGTTGGAATACAAACGTTCATTTCTTCCCCAGCTTCTGTCAATTGGTGGTATAGTGTGATCATCCCTCAGTGTTACCGGTTGGCACCTGTCCTCGCTGTCAATTCGGTTGACCCCACTGGTTACGGTTACTGATTGGAACCTCGAGAAATAACCAGAAAACTCAAACTGTTAACAAATAAAATGTTCACTAGTTTTTGTTGTGAAAATAAAGAATTCTTATCACATGTTTCAATTTCCGGTAAAATAATGAAGCCATGAATTAATAAAATGCACTAAGACATAAAACTGTCAATACAAAATCTTCTTTGTTCATCTTCAGATCTTAATAGGCAGATCAGAGTGATCTAAACACCAAATGGTCACTTTTCTTGTTACAGACTGATCTCCTTATTGTCACACCTGAACCAATTCAACTCCATTGGCTGAGTGGTTCAGATCACCTGGAGAGCTATTACCTGAATAAAACGTCCAGTATTCAGACTACTGTATTCTAGTCAGTGTTATAAGTAGAATAGTATAAGGGTCTAATACTATGAGAATAAAATTTGGTCCTATTGGTAGAGTATAGTTCCATTATATTTCCTTTTATTACATGTATCACACTGCAAAAACATTATTTACTGATGACGTTAGAAGCAGAATTTATTGCTCAACTCAAGGTTTTCCCGCACATCCGGAATCGATGTCACGTTGTTTTGATTGGATGTGTCAGATGTTGATTCGATAAGCAAAACTTCAATCCATTTGAACTAAATGCTTGCCAAAAGCTTGCAGTTAGAATTAGGGTACCAGTGGAAGGGTTTAATTATAAGGGTACAACCATACTTGACTTCTACTACCTTCAAGTTTCAGAATAAAATATACAAACAGACAGAAAGAGTAGCCATAGGATCACAAATATCCTCGATTTCTGCAAATATGTTTAAAGACAGTTAGGAACACACTTACTTAGGGATGTGTTACCCTAGTCCCAAATTATCCTGGAGATATGTGGATTATATATTTACAGTGCTGAAATTTAAACCTATCGATGCATTTCTTGAACACATAAACTCAATGAGTGATACAATGGAATTCACACATCTACTCTAATACAGAAAGCCCGGTCTGGTATTGGCCAACTTGCATCACCTTTGGTTTCAGCTGGTGAGGTATCCAACTGTCTAGCAAGGGACGAGTATACTTCGCTGTAGTCCGTTCTGTCCTCTTGCACTGCTGTGAGACAAGGTCATTGGGAGTTGGGAATCTGAAAAAAACTACAGGATTTTGACCACGACTGTCTTTATAGCACTGTTCACATCATGCGAGTAATGTCGAGGTTAGGAGAAAGGTACTAGGCAGGGACGGTAAATCAGTCAATGAGGTTGTGAACCGTCACCAACTGAGATGGCTTGAAAATGTACTATCTCGACGTGACATGCTGATGGGAGTTGGACTGGGTTGGAAGAGGGTTCAGAGTGGGAAGACCAAGACATGGCACCGGTTCATGAAGTCACTGTCAGTTGTTTTCAACCGCTTTAGGAGATGTAAACTGTTTGGCTGGGGTCACCGAGAAGATGGGAATCAGTGGTTGAGAAATTTTGGTGACATGGCTGAAAATCGATCACAATGGCGCAGATGTATTCACTCCTTGACATCTTCTAAAGCTTGAATATTTGCACTAACCTCCATCTTCAAATTCGTTCTCCGCCTATGCAACTTTGTCTACTTTGATATCGGTCATTTTCTGCCGACTTGATTTTTGCATGCTACTATGAATTTATCATGTGGTAACATGAACTGATACAAATTTTTGCGAGGTTCTACGTTGATTTTCTCTATGTCTGTCTATCAGAAAGTGACTGAGCAGAACTAGCTCTGTGGAACCATAACATCAAATGAAAGCAATATAGAACTGTGGATACTAGAGTTTATAAAAAGCCTTCACACTTTGACTAATACTTAGACTTTAGGCCATCTCATTGAATATCAGGTGAAGCTAAACGTTCTCCTCAGGAATTGTAGCTTTCTGTGTTCTGTACGCATATATTCTGAAGTGTAAACTGCAGTGATAAATTCTTTTATGCTGTAATTAAAAACCCCAATTAACTCGCTGTGATCTGTGAGCATCATTCATCTGGAGTAATTGTAATAACTTTCCGCCTAAGAAGTGGAAGTGTAGGCAATACTCTGCAGACGAATAAACGGTATGAAACATGGTTTTGTATCAAATTACATTTTAACAACTATACATATAGGTAAAATATTCATACAGAACACATAGAAGGCATATCAGAAGCTCTGTGAAGAATTCCTGATAAGACCGGTATTGGAGTCGCATTCAAACCTAAAAACTCATAGATAAATGTTTTCGGCTAAGGGATCCTATTGCACCAGTTAAGCAAAACCGTCCTGTCTCTCAGATTCTATGTGGGGTCAAATGCATAGATCAAACTAGCTGAGCGAGGTCAATCACAATAACCAAATGAAGAAATCTAGCTAAGCACAGACTGCTAGACACTATGGTTGAATAATGGCTAGCGGTGATATCTAAAATGATCGTTTTGTCGTATTTCGGGTTCGACTAGGTTTCTCCATTTCATCTGAAAGGAGAGATTTTCATAAAATACAGAAGTCTAATTGGTTATTTCACTTGTTGCTAGGGTGGTCTTTTAAAGTCACTCCTAAGGTCGCTCGAGTATATTTCAACTTTGATGTCAACAATCTGACTTACAGTTAATTTGCATGACAGCATTATTTAATAGGTTAAAGTTAGTACGTATGTAACTCACCTTTCAAGTCTATTGAGATTCATGGGTGACTTAAAGGCCACCCTAGCAACCGATGAGACAGTCAATTACATTCCTTTATTTTATGGAAAAGTACTTTCCCATGCTAAATACAGAAATCCGATTGGTCCATTCAACGATTGCCAGGGTAGTCATAGAGTCACTCAAGAATCAGAACCAAAAGTTTTGACTGCTTATTTGGAAAAATATTCTGAGAAAAAATTGAATTACAAATACTATTTTGAATGAACTAGTCACCATAGTGAGTGGTCCATCAGGGTAGCTGTTTGGCTTTTAGTACTCAACGCTGGTAGATAGAGTTTGGTCAGAGCTGAAAGGTTACATAAATTAACAAGTGGTAGCCAATTCATGCACTTGATCCAGTCATACAGGTCAACTTCGGTGTGACTTCAACACTGAATGATGCAGCTACAAATCATCGAGGTAACACAAGTTCGCTCACTGTTGCAGATATATCTTGTCTATGAGTATCGATAAGCATAAAGACTGGAATTTAACTTCCTGTTGACTGGTCTTTCTTAGAATTTAGCACTAAAATGTATAATTTTTTCTAAAGCTTAAAATGACGAGCAGATGAGAGAAGGCATACAGAGACTCCTCCATTCGTATGAGTGAAAGTAAGTGGCTTTTTGATTAGCGCGTATAATTCGAGCATCAGATGTTTATTCAAGTCACTGAAACAATGAGTAACAACTACTGGAATACCCAAGTAAGTTTCTATATTTCATGAAAAAACAATATTTTAGTCGAAATAATGGACGGACTGGTTACCATAGCAGTTGTTTGGGTGGTATTTGAGTTCATCAAGGGGCCACCCTAACATCTACTGAAATGGCCAATTTGGTTTCACGATGTTATGAGCAAACTATCTTTTTAAAAATCCAGTTGGTTAGCTATGTAGTTACTAAGGTGACTTAAAGTCATTTGTAATGCCACCCCAGCAACTGGGTGACACTATGAAGTGATATGTTTTTTCTACTTTAATTGAAATAAACCGAGAGCTTTTCAAATAAATTTTAAATCAGAAAAGGAATAAGTTGTTACTCTTCCTGTGAGAAGTTATTGTATAAAAGACTTACTTATCTGGTGCTATCATTGTGGTTAGCTTTTACAGTATCTTAACTGTACACTGGCAAGTCGAGGGTAGCAGATCAAGCTTTGAATGCAGTATTAATGGGTGACTCCATTAGTCACTCAAAATGGTCGCCCTAACAATGACTAGAATAGTCAATCAGGTTGTTGAATTTCTCCTGGGAAGATAGGTTTTCATAAAATAAACACAACTGATTATCTTATGAGTTGTTAGGACGACTTTTACAGTCACTCCCATTTTTACCCATATGCACATTATGAGCATCTGAAGTATACACGTTCGGGATGCCTCTACAGGCCACTTTAGCAGCGGTCACACTAATCAATGGTATTTCTTTAATTCTGTTAGACATATTATTCGATCAGAATTAAGAAACCTAAATGGTAGTTGCTAAAGTGGCTTTTAAAGTAGCCCCAAATACGGAGTTACTTTAAAGATCACCCTAACAACTATGGAAATAGACAATTAGGTGTCACTATTTCGGTTGGGATGTTAGCATTCTCATCAAAACAGAGATCTAATGGGTTATTTGGTAATTCATAGGGTGACCATAAATGTAAATGTTTTGCAAGAGTTAAAATTTTCTGTCTTAATGCTCCAAATTTCGTCCGAAAATGAGAGAATTATGTATGACGTATAGACCTTCTAGATAGGCTACTTAAAAACGTAACGGACACTGCATCTGAAGTCGTTTGAAACCCCATCATTATATAAATCAGCAGAGAAATGCCTCAAAGGCAACCCATAAGATACTACGCTGAATAAACTAAAGTATGATAAATCAGTAAACCACCACTTACTCTTGGGAAACTGTCCGAGTACACCGGAAAACCACTTGAATATTGATGCAACTGGAAAACATTTAACCTCCCAAAGAAACTAACACCGGTGTAGCTCTTTAACTTTGAATTGCACTATTCCTTTTTTATCCCCGATGTTTCTAAACAACACACGTATTAGCCTCATATTCTACATGAATCCCTCTATGGATGTCGAACAAGGAAGATATCATCAACCTCGCGGCTTCTTGCATATGGCCATCAAACAAGCAACAAAGTAAACGATATGACGATAAGACTTATTCTAGGGGTTATTATTTCAAACCAACTGACATAATTTTTGTCAGTATTTGGGGCTTTCGAATAGAACATTGCCTGATATCCAGTTATTAGCTCAGCCTAGTATGATGGAAAGCAGATTTTAGACTTCCAATATGCTTTAAGTAATGTAAACTAATATTGTTCTCAAGATAATCGGCTCAAATCTCATTTCTCGCCTGTTTTTATCCTTTGCCAAAAAACATCTTTTCACTTTACAACTGTACACTAATCATAAATGTTGATAAAATTTGCTCCCATCATGTTTTACTTCATTAGTACATATGTAATACTGGATACCATCGAAATCCATCTATCAGTGTGTACACTAATAACCAATCACCTATGGGAAATGCAACAAAATGGAGTTGAAATAATATGTTCATCATTTGGAGCAACATAAATGAAAGCTGCATGGCACTCTTTTCAACATATGGCACTATACATCTCGATTCAGACAGATGGAACGTATAAATAGAAGCGAATCACCTGTGAGAAACCTGCTCAAGAAGAATGAACCAAGTGATTTAAAGCTATTACTACACTTTGAATGCACAGAGGCAACTATTTTGTAAGTAGATTTGTACTCGGCCGAGAGATAAACATATAAATCAGTGAATGTTGTTTTTTTAACGCTTAACTGAAAGTTAAATTGTCAGTTAATAAATATAAGAGATGATTCTAACTGCTGAAGAATTCAAACCTCACTTTGTAGAGCCTTAAATGGACACACTACTGCTGAGGACGTTCGAGGTCAGTTAGTTTAGCCTAAAAGTACAGTCTCTTTGTTGAGGTGTATATTTGCATCTTTCAAACACGGCTGCAGAATAGTACCTTCAATCTATTACATGTACTAAAATGTTTCCGAAAGTATTTCAGAACTCAATCAAGATCTCCTACAAACACCTACACAGGATTTATGGTGTAGAAGCCTCAGTCATTTTATCACCTTTTTCTTATTTTAAGTTCAACTATCTAGAAATAGTGACTACCTAAGGACTTTAGCTCAAGTTGTCAGTATCTTAAAAGTCTTTTGGAAGATACATCATCATAGATAAATTTACCTACGTTATGCACTATTAAGGGGATAGTAATGCAACAATTTGTGACTTTGACTGTAGAGCTGAGATAGCAAAAAGAGAAATCAGTTAACCATAGCAAGAACAAGATTGCTCATCAATGATTATTTTATTTTTCCACATGAAAAACTAATTTTATTCCTTTGTGGATAATTTACGGATGCATATACTGAAACATATTACATACTGATGCTCAGAAATCATTTTTATTCACTTTAGAATTTGAACAAATCGAAAAATGAATTTCATTTAGCACATTCATGCTGTAAACAATGAGTCACACTTACCGCTTGAGGAATAATGATCGTAACAAGTTGCTTAAACCGCGATGGGTGAGATAGGTACGAACGTGTGATTCAATGAATGGAAATCAAGTACTTAGACAAATGAGCCACAGTCCTACCTTTATTAATGGAAGCGGAAGGTGTTAGGATGAAGAAACAATGTGGAAACCAATACCAATACAGATTTATCCATTCTACTGCTCGTCAGCTTAAAGTTAGCTCCAAATTTGGTGGACAAGAATATTGAGATATACCGAAACGAAGTCCTGTTTATTTGATCCAGTAATTTGATAACAGGTAATGAAATGGGCCTAACTGAGTCCTTATTATCAGTGTACTGATGATTTGAGCTATACAACAATTGATCAGTATAACATCATGAATATTCGGTAGTATCGAGGCATCCACATAGAAGTCTATCTGTCAACAGAGGTCGAGTAATTCGACCCTGTATAGCAAAGGATATTGCGAGGATCATAACAACAACTGATAACCGTTGACGTTAAAAGCGATGGGTATTGGGTTCAAATTTCAATGGGAACAACATCACTCACACGCATCCTGGATTTTTCTGCTAGTCGCCAAGATCAGTTGGTTTTACACATTAGACAAGTATTAATTACGCTCCAGAAGAACAGGATTACCTTGGCTGATAAAAAAAACAATTATTTCTACAATAGATTTATCAAATTTTATATTCACCTGTTTTTGTTCATATCGGATGGCTAACTTCAGTCGTGATAATTGCATTCGCTCACTGATGTCATCGGAATATGATTGACGATCTATACCACCAACATGACTGCCTGTTGCATCACCACCAGTATCATGATTCAGTACAACTGACAGTTCAGCTGAACTACGTGTTTGAGCTAACATGTCGGTTGCAAATTGTTGACATTTTGCTTGCAATTCTTCATAATCAGTCTATCAAATGAAAGACAGACAACCTGGTCACTTAGGCAAGGTAAATGTAGTTGAAAATGTCTTTAAAACTGTGCATGATATTATTACAAATGGTTAGTATAAGAAAGCCTTAAACCTACCTTAGAAGCTTATTTTGACTGTGATTCATTTGAACTTAATTTTAATGTTATGTGGTTGGAGGCAATCAACAAGGAGCCTGAGGCCATATTTTGTGCTTGTTGGCAGTCATCACTAAGGTGTGTCTGCGACTTGGTGGAAATAGTATTCGTGACCGACGTGACATGTTTATTGGTAGTATTCATAAGACGTACCTGTTTTCCCCGAGAGAGTTGTTACGTTCTCAGAGACTCAAGCAGACGTCACATTTTGAGGAACTGAGTAACTCTCACCAATTCATTCATTTTCCTATATACAATTGGATGAAGCAACCCAGCAAGTTAGCTGATAGTAACCGGGTATCATATTGCCTAGGTCACAGTTTGGACTGAAATTTTACTGATTTCATTTGTGATTTCATCATAATTTGCATAATATGGAATAAACATTGAAATCAGAGAAATATAAGATATATATAGGATATTTCATGAATTGGGATCCTGACAGCCTCTGGAAATCGGACCCAAGCAAGTATTTATAGTAAAAAGCCTTAAGTTTTATTCTACCGGTGTCGATAACTGTATTGGATACGAGTCGGAACCTCAGTTACTTGGGTCTTACCTTGGTTTTGTGTTTGTTGTCACCTTTCCATAGCTTTCGTTTACCGTGATAGCATACCGGTTGACTAACCTGAGACAGCCTATCTCAAGAATAAGGGGAAATAGGCATTGTAAATTTTACCTGCTAAGCTGATTACAACCAGTTCACTTTTAAACAGTTTAAACAATCACCTTTTTAAGGGAGACAGTGTCAATCATGAAGTTACTGGACAAAACTCAGGTGTTCACTCACACTCCTCATAAAAGGGCAGAAATGAAGGCCTTTTGCGAGTTTAATAGGCAATGCGTGAAATCTGATATTCCAGGTGCGTACATGTGACAATTTAAAACTAAACCTTATCATGTGATATCTTGTCAAACTCACATTTAAATATTATTTCAGCATACTGGAGATTTTTGACTTCTGGACATAAGTTAGTACATGGGCGTGAGACGAAAGCTTAAATTTGGTCAACTTCAATGGCCGTCTCAACAACTGCCAAAATAGCCAATCAGGTTGTGGTATTTTGACCGAGAAGACAATTTTCCGTAGAAAGAGAAACGTGATTGGTTGTGTTATTAGTTGCTAAGGTGCCTTTAAAGTCATCTTATATTTAAATGTGAGAAAGTGGTTTCAATCTGTTCCACATTTAAGGCTTAACCACTGAACAATGCAAATCAACTGAGATTCTAAGCCATCACCCTAGCTAAGCAATTTACTGTGGTCTTTCTTATTTCAAGGTCAAATATTTCCCGTTGCATCAACGCACTGTTCACACTAAGTACGTCAATGTATACACAGTCCTGAAACTAAGTTAACATATTTATTGTCTTAAAATGCATTCACTCGCTTCATAGCCTAGGATTGTGATAACTATTTCATGTACTGATTTTGCATTGCGATTGTAACCAATTTCTTTGGTTCCCATCACATGCTGAATGTCGATTTTACGAACATTATATGGTTGGTTCCAGTGTCATGTCCCATTCTCATGGCCATTTGTTAGTCTGGAGAGGATAAGACAAAAATCCCATACAATTCGCTGATGGTTTAGGCTTAATTTCCGTCATCTAAATACGTTTACATTAAAGTCTACAAACGATATGTAATCATTAAGCATGCAGATCTCATCAAAGTCTCAAAAATTCCACACTCATAACTGCTACATTTACGTGGTGGTCGGGCTTGCATATCGAAATGACCCAACGAGGTACACTAACTCGAGCGCTTTTTCTATCGAGGTCCCACTATACCAGAAAGACAAAAAGCAGTTACCGGTGTAGTGTGAATCCCTTCATTGTGGTGGGGGTCTGAAGGTGAAGCCATACTGCTGACTGGGTGGGTGTGTAGCAGAAGTAAAGTGTTTTCATTGGATGACCAGCAGTGTCACGCTGGTGCTGCTTTCCCTATGGGAAGGGGGGGGTAGGAAAACGCAGACCCCCAAAACAGTACCCTTCTCCCTGCTCCACAGTCTTCCGGTGCTGGCGTCATTAGTTCTCTATATCCGGGGTTAGAACAACCAAATCAGACTATATCATATAGTAAGTTATATTTGCAAACGACGTGAGAAAATGACTTGTTACAGTTAGTGGGGTCAATCAAACCAATCGAAAGGAAATCTGTCATAGAAATTCATTGGTTAGAAAACTTCGTGGAACTAGAAGTTAGTGATGGTGAGCGAATCTGTTGGATGAAACTGAGTCAGTTGCTTATATGTCAACACAATGTGTACCTACATTTTATGTGCATAGGCGTAATCATATACATTCATTTGCATACTAGACCGTGGATATGGCCAAATTCCATGTCCAACCCATGATTTGATACGATTGGCTCATTGTGATTAAACAGTGACTGGTGTACACACAAATGAAATACTATGGAAAGATAGTACTCTTAATCCACTGACCATGTACAGATTACCTGACAACATTCGAATTCCAGCGCAATGATGTGATAAGGCGATCCCTTATACATAAAGACCTAACCCAGGTAACATGATTATAGACAGTTAATAGTCAGTCAAGGTTAATATGATGGTTAGAAGTTGGCCAATAGATGCAATGTCGTAATTTCATTCCATCTCACAAAGTGATGCGATGTAGCTATGTTATTGTCTGCTTGGTTGCTAGCAGTGAAATCCATTTAGATATTGTTCCCACTGAGACTAACCTAGTACCCATCGCTTCAAACGCCACTGGAACACGATAGGAACCTCTTGGGAAATGAGAATCAGTTTTTATTTAATACAAGCATCCTGTATTTCACTGTGAGCCACCAAGCAGACAACAGTTTAATGATTAATCAGGCAGTATCGGGGTCATTGCAAAGAAACCAATCTACCAAAAGAAATGGAGCGATTAGACCCAGTAGGGCAATGAGATGTTGTCACCTTTGTCTGAAAGTAAAACGAAATGTTGTTAAACTATTCAACCATTTCAGATCTTAGTCGAATAGAAATTTCAGTTTACGCATCCTGTTGTTATTGAATGCAGAAGCAATTCACAGTTTCTTCAAAGTTATACATGATAGCAATGCAAGAAGATACCCTAAAGTACAGCTCAAAGAGCGGGGTAGCAGAACATAAGACATAATGTAACGAAAGTAGATGTTATACCTTCTTTATAAGCACAAACAGACAAAAATCATCAATATAGCCTGAGACATAACCGCACCTACATAACGAGTTCACTATTTACTAGTCGGTCCAAAGCCCATTAAACAGGGAAAGTTCGGCATACAGCTAGCAACCCTATCCACTAAAACAAATCCACTCTAACCACTAAACAAACTTCAAAGCACAAAGAAATCAGTTTAAAAAACTTATTCCTCCCTGACCACACAGAGATGAAATGACACCGGTATGTGAAAGCCTTGACGAAGACAATTGGCCAACATATCTTCCCTTCTCTCGACGAAAGCGAAAGTAGGCATGTCGACATGGAATGTCCACACAATGTATGAACTCAGCTGACAAGGCTGTCCAGACTGAGGAGGAATGTGATGGAAGTGGTAGACTGAGAATCTGTGAGGAATCTGCAGATGGAATGGAAGTCGACTGTACAAAGTGTCAACAACTGGAGAGGAGTGAATAATCTACTCCGATATTGTCACCGACACGACAACCAGGGAGACAGCACACTGACTTTTCGAGTGGATATCATGATGTCCCACTCCCAACAGTATCTGTCGAATGTTATCTCTGATACAGTGGGAAGCAATCTCCTGCTGCTGCTGCTGCTGCTGCTGCTGCTGCTGCTGCACGATCAGCATCATGACAGCAAGATGGATTGAACTCGAAAGTCATCAAAGTCACAATCATTCAATGCTACACTACACTACACTGCACTGCACTGCACTGCACTGCACTGCACTGCACTGCACTGCACTACACTACACTACACTACACTACACTACACTACACTACACTACACTACACTACACTACACTACACTACACTACACTACACTACACTACACTACACTACACTACACTACACTACACTACACTACACTACACTACACTACACTACACTACACTACACTACACTACACTACACTACACTACACTACACTACACTACACTACACTACACTACACTACACTACACTACACTACACTACACTACACTACACTACACTACACTACACTACACTACACTACACTACACTACACTACACTACACTACACTACACTACACTACACTACACTACACTACACTACACTACACTACACTACACTACACTACACTACACTACACTACACTACACTACACTACGCTACACTACACTACACTACACTACACTACACTACACTACACTACACTACACTAAACTACACTACACTACACTACACTACACTACACTACACCACACTACACTACACTACACTACACTACACTACACTACACTACACACTACACACCTACAAATAATGCAGATGAAGAGGCGACGGAGGAATTGTACTGACAACTGGAATCAACACTCCACAACACACTCAACACTCAATACTCAACACACCCCAGTTGGCGACATCATAATCCATTCTAATCGATGAGGTGACAAGTCTGAATGCGAAACTGTGGGGAGAGGACAAGACAGGAAGAGAAGTGATCATCATGGGTCGAGAAGCACTGAGTGAAGTGATGAGTGAGAATGGAGAAGTGTTTTCAGATTTGTGTGCATTCTACGATTTGATGATTGGAGGCGATGTAGTGTGTAGAAATACAAGGATGTTGACAAGTCAGTGAGTGATATGGATTTGATTTCACCGTTCACCATTCACCATACACCATTCACCAGATGGACACAGTAGGATAGACTACACCGAAAATCAGATGGACTTCATGTCAATGTGAGGAGAGTGGAGATGGAGACGCAGCCAACCTACTGGACACGAGGTCACGTCAGATGTGATGAGATGAGATCAGGTGAGATGAGATGAAGAAGGTGAGCAGATGTCGGTGGTTCACATCACTCACACCGGTGACACCAGTGACACCAGTGACACCACTATCTAGTGGAAGGAACCCACCCACACACCTTGGAAATCAAGTTGACAGCCTTCACAGGAGTTGGTGATGATAGATGGACCAGAGTTGAAGTTGAACAGTGAGAAGAGAAGGTGAAGTGAATGAGGAGACTACAGAGTACATCTTCACGTTGTCAGTCATGAGAAGAGAATGGGAGAGATTGAGTAATATGCTTGAAGGATGTGTTGTTGAAGAAGACTGGAACTGTTTGAAGGGTGTATTGAAATAAACCTGTATAACGGTATTAGGAAAGAGGAATAGGTGAGATGAGAGAAGGAATGGATGTGGATGTATAAATGTGAGGTGATAGAGGAGTGAGAGGATGATGTTGATGATGATGATGATGATGATGATGATGATGATGATGATGATGAAGCAGAAGATAAACCAGTGCAGTGCAGGGATTACTAAGGCTGAACGTTGCAACTACGACATATCAAACTTGTTGTTAAATGTCTACCCAAAGACTTGAATGCGTTTCATCCGATCTCTTATGAAGTAGAATGGTGGGTGTCTTCTAGTAACAATTAAAAAGCCAGATGTCATTTCAGAATTAAAAGCAACTTCATATTCTGTTCGCTGTCTTAAAAATTTTCCATTTATCCTTGAACTTCAAGTTGGTACTGACACGGAAACTCAAAAGTTATCAACTTAAATCCCAATATGTCGTGAGAATCCATCTGAGATTTGGCATAAATGGTGTAACTGTAACTTAGATTATGTGACTGACAATGCTGTACTGAAGTACAGGTTGACATGAGATTGGTACTTCAACTCGTGACTTTAGTAACTCTGACTCACTTTGAGTAACTCATGTCTGATTCGTAACCCAGCTGAACTGCACACCCATTGAGAGCTTACATTTTAAATAATTATCAAACTGAAGAATGAGAGAAAAATAATGTAATAAAACAGGCAATTTATAGAAAAATGTGAAATGGGCGAAACGGTTATAATCATCTGACCTTCAAAGAATAGGCAGTTAATCACGTTTGATATTTCTACCGCAAAATGCTCGATTGCATTTAAACTCACTCCAACAGATCATTTAATCTATATCCATCTCTTAATTCATACACACAACATTCAATATCACTAGTCATCTTGTAAGGTTGCATAAATCTAGGCCAAAAAAGCATCTTGTTCACAACCTCCATGTACCACCTACACTATACGCTAACTATAAACGTCACCACAGCAACTACATATTGTGTACTCTGAATATTTATCAGTAGAAAAAGTTTCTTTCACAGTTGCTAACCCCAATCATTACACTCTCTTTCCTCATCGCAAAAAGTGTGCAGTAGTCAAACATGATTCAAACAATCATTTGCTCGATACGTGTGGTTGCTAAGTCATTTAAACACCACTATCACTATATCAACTATCAACTGTTGAAATAATCAATGAAACTACTTCATTCTCAATCGAAATTTAGCTTTCGAGTCAATCAAGTCACCTAACTGATCATCTAAATCGTTGTTACTAGGTTCGATCTCATTGTTTGCTACTCATCATTGAAATGTGTTATTTCTCGCGTGCAGCACTGAAAGTGGATGGCGTCAAATAATTTAGTAGTTTGAGATGAGTGAGTATCCATCCACACTGTTATTTGTTGAATGTGTCAGTATCTTCAGCCTCTTTCACTGAGTCTTTCACTTGATGTGGTGCAAAATTACACAAACACAATGAGGCAACCTGCTTAAACCTCCACCAAACATTTCTAGACACCTCGAACGACCACCCTAGCAACTGATGAGACAGGCAATTACAACATTCCTTTATTCCATGCAAAAGTACTTTCCCAAACGAATCACCGAAACCTGATCAGTCATTTCACTAGTTGTTAGGGTAGCCTCTAAAGCCACTCAAATATTCCACCGAATGTATTTCATCAAAACTCTTCTCACTCTGTTTCTTCTAATACTTTGAATGTGTCCTCTAAACGTATCATTTACACTCACACCTATAGGAAATGTTTTCAAACTGTCGTTTCTCGAGCTAAGAGGAAACAAAACATGAGGTGAGATGGAAATTGACTTATAAATGCTTAAAAATGCAACACACTACTATTCTTTATTCTTAGGATACCTATACCGAATTGTGGATTTTCATACTGGCTGACTGAACTACCATGACCAAAATTACACTGGATTTCATGTTCTTTTCCGAGTCCAGACCAGACGCTAATGTATCACCAACTGCCTGTTTCATATTAGTCTCTTCAATACTGATATTGTGGACACACTATTCAGATGTAGTAATCATTGCTTCTGAAAGTATTGTATGCAGAGCGTATTTGTTTAAATATTACTTGTTGAGAATTGCATACTATATGACAGATGTTGTTTGCAAGAAAGAGATTATCAGCATTATTATATTAAAAAAGGATAAGAGAAACTGGTTGTAGATGTGATGCTCCATTTGACCCCTCAACCGAGTCATTAGGAAATCAGAATGCGTCAAAAGTAGATGAATTCGAACAAATTCATATCACATCCTTACTAATAAATAATGACAGGCAGAGCGAAACTCTGTGTGTGTGTGTGTGTGTGTGTGTGTGTGTGTGTGTACTTATAAGTTGCCTTCGACACTATTATTCCACCAAATGACCATCCAAATTACTAATTTGTGTAGTGCAATTCAAGAATTTTGCACAGGCTCATAAGTGTTTGCAAAGGTTATGATTGTAAATGATCAATTTTCTGCTCATTCTAATCATGCATATTGTTTTCAGACAAACGATGATATTTCACAAGATTTCCATCCACCTTGATTTAAATATTGAATAAGACTGATGAGAAGAATAGGATTGATAAGCGTAGTGAATCATCAATTGTTTTCATTCAAATGACCATGTTTCAAAGTAGAAGATGTAAAAATCGGTTTGTATAAATAATGTCAGGTGAAATTTTCATATCTGTGATGAGATATTTTGACAGTGTGTCAAACAAAATGATGACACTGTGACATTTGAAAGAATTGGTCTCAGGTTTGAGTGATTGATTGATAGTGGGAATAAAATCAGTCACTTGGAGAGAGGTACATTCAACTGGTGACTGTAAAATGGGATGAAAGCTGAGTTGTAGATTCCACTGCAAGTCATTATGCATTATTACTATCAAAACGATGTGTTTCTTGTCGAGCTCAGAGAGCGTTTATAGATAAAAAGTGGAATACATGTGAGTTAGTGATGGATGCGAATATTTGTTAAACAAGACACTCTAAGATGTATTCAATAGACAATTAGTTTTATGCATGAGCAAGTGTGTGGTCGATACAAAAGTGATACGATCTGATGTGTATGAAGCTCGAAGCAACAGCCTATATGTAAAGGTTTGTTGTTTAGATTTCAACAGTGATTTCATATACTATTCAAAATTGTTTCAATCTAGATGGTGGTGTAAAATGCTTATATTTGTAATACAGACAGACTTACGGACTTTACTAGAACTTACAACACCATTCAGAAACCCAGCCTCATTATGAAACGGTTGCCCTAGATTTGTTGCTCAGGTCAACTTCTTCCTGTTTCTTTTCCACGATGAAACTCACCTTTCTTATATTAAAATTCATTTATTGTCAGATCTTCTTAAGACCTGTGAAATGGTTCTGTTAGCATCAGACGGTATCACCTGCAAATTTAATCCAGCTAAATTGTTAGTATCGGAATGACTCTGAAAGAATCCCTGGAAGTTGTCTTTTCTCTGCTTAGAGCTCATAAATAAGGAATAAATGGGACGCAGTGGGGCTGATGCTTATTTCGATATTCAGATCCCAGTTATTCAGGCATTCGTTTACGAAGACACCATCCTTACAAGTGCCTTCTATGGATTTCATTTATTTAATTCAACACATCAGAGCACTACATTTCTTGACTAACCGGATTCGATATAAATTGGTAACTACAGCATGTTAATTCATTGATGGCTTACAGACTAACCAGTTAAACGAGAGGCAGTCCTGTGTTTGTTAAGTAGCCTACTCATTAACATAGATAAGGATGAAACTTGTTTTCAAGACAGAAGTATATCAAAAGCCATAAATTATTCTTTTCTATGTGTTACAGCGCAAGGTACGACTATCATCCAGACTACGTCCTAGTTGGGACGCCATTTCATTGTAAATTATACCACCGAAAATGATGAATAGAACTTTCGAACCATCCTTTGTCAGACGTCCGTCCGAGACCTACCCACCATAGATCTCTTCGGTAACAACTAAAGAAAAATGATCCTGACAATTAGATGATTTCTTTAATAACTACAGATCAAAATTATTAGAAATTGGTTAAAACTTATTCGAGTGTAAGATGGAGTATAACTTACTCGAAATTCATTTTCAAGTTCACCCAGTTTCTTCAACTCCCAACTTAACTCGAATGCTGTTAAAATTGGATCATTACTTGTCAGTATTATAAATGATGGACTTGTTAACGCTCGATAAGTATTGATTCTCAGTTTTGAATGTTGTAATCCATCTTCTCGTCTAGCTTGTGTACACAAATTGCATGCACATCGTAAATCATGTGGTTTAGGTATACGATCACCGCGATCAAGTAACAATTTTAAAATCACGTAATTATCACGATGAGCTGCTAAAATTATACCATTGATATCTGGTGTAAACAGAGATGACTGGAAGCGTCCAAGTAATCCCTGGATAAAAGAAAAAAGTAAAAAGAATTTTTGAACAGAATCGGGTTAACTTGGAACTGTCTGCTTACACTTACACCTTGATGAATTGACTATCTTTGGTTCCATCAACTTACAAATCAAAACGAGCTTGCATCCCTGTCAGTATTAGCCAAACAGCTACAAATATACATCATATTCATCACTATTTATTGACATACTTGTGATTCTCCGTTGTTTTATTGGATTGAATTGTTCAACCTCTATTGGCATATGGGCTCCTATGCGGATGCCTCGATATTGCCTAAATGGTAATTACAGTAATCTGGTTGGTTGTGGCTAGCAAAGAGATTGAGGACGCACGTTCCCTCCATGGGATAAAGGATAACGCTTTGGTATTTGAAGCAACGGGTACGAGGTACGAGTTTCAGTGGGAACAAAAACACAAATCAGTTAAAACCATTTATTACTTGATGAATAAGTTTCTCTATCTGGAGGTTTATGGAGATTTATTAGTTGATTTTAGGTTGGAATTCATCATGGACTGACATCAGTTGGAGGAAGATTGAAAACCTGGGAGCACTGGACAGCTGTTTCCTGCTAGGATGGTACTGCATAGCAGCACGCACTCACGACCTCACCTGGACTCGGACCACAGACCAGGACGAAACAGCTGTACAGTGCTCTCAGGCTTCCTATGCTCCTCAAATTGATATCAGTCCATAATGAATTCCAACCTAGAATAAGTTTTTCTTTTTCTTGAAATACATCGCTTTTACTAGTCATGGTCAAGGACGGATCCATTTTACATTGTTAATAAAATTATCAGAAATAACCGTGGTTTAACAAACTGATATTACTGTTAAACAGTCAGTTACTCATTAAGCATTCACATGACAGCTGGATGAAATTCTGTGTGATTGAAGAGAAAACCTGGTTGGCAAGTGGGTCTTGTAGTTCAGCTGGTAAAGTGCTGAACTGACAACTTGAAGCCGACCGGTTTGAGTGCTATCATAGACCAGGTTTTCATTTTACATTCAGTCATCATGAAGTAACATATTATAGATATGAAAAACAAAACGTGGACAAACTATTAGTTTCTCAATGTTTCTCAATACACGCTGTCATAATACTAACCTTGATGGCAAAAAGAAATGTAATCATTTTCATCAATTAGCCTATTCATGCATATGATTGTACACACAATGGTTGAAACAAATAATTGAATACATGATAGGTATCAAATACGGCGATATAAAGGTAATTAAAAAATGATTTTACTCTAATCAATCTATGGTATTATATATTATGAGTTAATCTTTCGGGAGCCCTTCTCCAGTGAATGGAACGAGTGACATGATCTCGCAAACGACTGATATATTACCTTCCACCCCGCCCCCCCTTCACATATAAATGAAGTAGCTTATAGTACTTCTCATGCAAAGATATTGAATTCCAACTAAATAGTGATCTTTACAGATTAACCGACAGAGTAACCTTGGTTTCTTCAACAAAACTTTTCCTATCTGACGTCTTTATAACTTCTTTTAGAGCATACACAGTTAACTTTAGTAGTCAAGGCTACAAATTATTACATCTTGCACATTGATAATAAATTCAGCACATAAGCTTTGATTACTATGATAAACACAAAAATTGTACACCAGGAACAAGCTAAAATAAGAGTTAACCATTATTGCTACTGTACGCAAAAGGACAGGCTGAGAAGAGTAAACAATTGAATTTTCATGAAAATGATGGATAATGGTTAGCCATGGAACTAAGGAGGCGAATTTCCCCTGTATGTGACTTATCAGTGGTGAGTACCTGCCACCCAGTGAGTGATTTTGTTTCCACTGACACTCGAAACCAACGCCTATCGTTTAGAACGCCATAGTGTAATCTGCTGGCTTACTGAGTTACGAGCCATAACATGAAACTACGCTCATCGCACAAAGAGTGGCCAGTGTAACTCATTTACTTGGTGGATAACGTCATAGCATTCGGAGCGATGGGTTTTGGGTAGGTAAATCTAGCTAACGAGTTACAAGTAGAATAAAAAGCTTATCTTGAATCTTTCAACTATGAGTTGCTGATAATAAATATGATTACTCAATGAACAGACAATATCAAGGTACGCAAAACAGCAGCTTATGTGCTGATGGTTACTGATCAATTCTGTTTGATCAGTCTCAGGAGGATACAGGCTACAAAATAAGGCATTCAAGTGTTGAAAGAAAGTCGAACATTCTTTATTTTTATTCAATTTAGGCAAACAACTAGACACATCAATGATGGATATTGGCTAGCAGTGGAATCCAGGACTCATATTTCGTCTTATTTGGGACTCATCAGCTAAATGTACCTGCCTCTCAGTGAACGATGTTGTTCTCACTAAAACAAGAACGCTGCACCGATCGCTTCTAACGCCGGAGTGCTATCCACTAGGCCACCGAGTTACGATTCCATTGCAAACCACTATCAATTATTAATATAAAATTGAAATACAGTCAATATTGAGGGATCCACACAGGAGCCCATACGCCACTGGAGAGCGATCGGATTCGGTCCAATCAGTGACGGGATAGTACAAGTAACAACATGAACTACCAGATAACATAAAAGGCAGAACCAAAGTAGCAACTGAAAGACGTTCTCCTGAGACCAGACCAGCATTAGTATACGATAAAAGTGCTACACTCACGTCATCAAAAGTTGTGCTTATGAATCCACATACACAAGAAGGACTTAACAAGGGTATGCATTTGATTACGTGAACATTTTTTCGAGGATTTATCTCTTCTAGTAAACAAAGCAAACAATAATACAATGACTAGACACATTGTCCAGATGATGCACGAAGTTGATGTTTCTGAGATTTTAAATAAAATAAACGTTCACAGAATGGTTGGTGTTTATACTCCGTTATTGCAGTACTCCTTTCAAGAAAACATTCTCAACCAGACCTGCGTTCAGAGGAGAAAATCATAACTGATCGCTCAATTCTGAACCATTTCAACAACTCTCATTCATCACTTCATTTTACATACGAGAATGAAATCAATGAATCGATACATTTTCTTGATGTGCTAATGACAAGAAACCAAGATGGCTCTATACTGAGAAGTGTATATAGAAAACTAACGTCGAAGGCACGGTATACACACTTTCTCAGCTTTAAACGGATAAAGTACAAACTTAATGTAATCAGGTGCCTAGCTTTTAGGGTAAGATCGATTTGTTCCAAGAAACATATAGAAAAAGAACTACTGTGTAGCTATGATATTCTAAGTGAAAACGGATACCCGGACAAGTTCATCAAAGGTAGCATCAACTACCTTGATGGTAAACGAGAACTGAAGACAGTGGAGAAGAAGCCTTTGTTTCAGCACTTAAAATTCAAGGTATATGCTGCAAGTGACATTCTATCACAATGCTTAGCTAGATCAGTCAATAAGACATTTTATGCTGGTCGGCTTTGTATATCATTCAGCAGTCGGCCAATGCTCAGTCCGAGACTAAAGGATAGTCTACTTAGTCTTAGCTCTTCATCTTGCATATATCAGTCTCATTGTTCCTGTGTAACTACTTACATGGGGCGTACGATTAGGCAGGTGCATCTCTGGATACGAGAGCATTTACCAGCTTGGTTCAGAAAGGGTCCAGTGAAAGTGGTGAAAAGTTCAGTCCTAGCGCATCTAGTTGACACAGGGCATCACATGGATCCTAATAAAGCTTTCAATGTCATTCATCGTGTTTCGAAGCTCGCCAAAACCTGCTCAACATAGAGAAGGCTATCGTAATAAGATTGATCAAGTCTGAACTCTGTATTCAAAAAGAACGTGTTCAAGCGTTACTTTTCCTTTAGCCTTCAGAAAAATAAAGGCTACTCCTGCCATCTTATTCGTTATCTTTCTGTTCACCATTATGTCTTTCTTCTGTATACGTATCATCCCAATATTGAATAATTTAAGAAAGATAAATCGATTTCCTTACAATCACTAGATCTCACTCTATTTTGAAAATGTAATTGCCCTAACATGGCTTGTTTTCACGCTGTACAAATCCATTTTTTAACTGTAGAACCTGAAGAGAATTTATCGAAAAGAATATTCATCCTTCAGATTGTTACTTTCTATAAACATTATGCTAATCTTTAGTTGTTTGAAATCTTACATTTTCATAGTCCTTCATTCATTATTATTATTATTATTAGTCCCTTGGGTTCCTAGTGGAACATAGGGCTTCAGTAGCACGCCTCCAGTGACCTCTGTTCTCTGAGATCTTTTGAACCTGGTTCCACGACAGCCCAGAAGCTCTCATTTCCTCCTCGCATGACCTCCTCCATGTCACCCTCGGACGTCCAACTCGTCGCTTCCCATGGGGATTCCACTCGAGGGCCTGACGCGTGATGTCCTCAGTCGGCCTTCTCAGTGCATGGCCAATCCATCTCCACTTCTTCCTGCATATTTGTTGCGTGATAGGTTCTTGGTTGGTTCGTTCCCAGAGTTCCTTGTTGCTTATTTTTTCTGGCCATCTGATCTTCAGCAGCGAGCGTAAGCAGTTGTTGATGAATGTCTGTAGTTTATTGGAAATGCCTTTCGTGACGCGCCAAGTCTCTGAGCCATACAAGAGCACTGACTTGACGTTGGTGTTGAAAATCCGTATCTTGTTCCACATGCTGAGTGCAGAAGATCTCCACACTGGTTTCAGGCTAATGAACGCCTGTCTTGCTTTTCCGATTCTGACTTTGACGTCCTCGTCCGTCCCGCCTGTAGTTGAAACAGTGCTTCCTAGATAAGTGAAGGAGGTTACTTCCTTCAAGTTTCTCCCGTTGACGGTGATTGGAGTTTGTTGTTGTTGTTGATGGTGGTGGTGCGGTATCTTCATCACTTCTGTCTTCTCTATATTCACCTGAAGTCCCGTCTTAGCTGCCTCTTCTGTCAACTTGTTAGTTTTTGCCTGCAGATCTTCAAGTTTATGTGACATTAGGCATAAGTCATCGGCGAAATCCAAGTCTTCTA